CTTCTTGATGAATGAGGCCTATATATTGCGTGTCACCAAAGCTAGAATAGGTAGCCTTGTCGACAAAGTCGTGAATAACATCTCAACACAAAGCCACCGCACAAAAACAAAATCATTCATTGGGCTAAACATGTAACAGTTACATGATGCCGCACCAGTGAAGCTAGCGCATAATGTTATAACTGGATTCTAAGTGAAGTACGAAAAAGGAAATAAAGGAAGCACATCAAGCGAAAGATTTCAAATACATATCTTTGAACTTCATTTAATAATCATCCACTTAAGTCATGTCAACCCAAGACTGCAAAACTTTTCAATGTTGTGGGAGCACTATACAGTAGATTACACAGTGAGACTCAGAATTGTTGTAAATACATTATGCGAAGGAGCTACAAGAATCACTGATTGATCGATCTAACTAGTCGAAAGTTACTGTAAAAAAACTATCGTCTTGAATGAAAATGTGTTCGCTTTTTAGCGGCTCTGGTCGATATCCTACAGAGTGTTTAAAGCTAAACAAGCTGTAAACAGTTCTACGAATTATATATTGTGACATCTTCATTCTTTCAACCACTGCACTGAATAGAACTACTTGCAATATAATTATTGCACAGTCATATTGCCACATTTTTCTGAGACGGTTCACATTAGGGAGTTAAAATGAGTTGATAATCCCACTTACACAAAAAAGAATAACAAGGTTTCGTTCCATTCGATGGAGCACAAGAGCTAAATGAATGTTCTAATGTTGACGTCATTATTTAAACTTCTGTGAAGTGTGAGGAAAAGATCGCTGCTGCATATATGAACTTCATACGATATGTCTATAAATAAAGAAACATGCAGTTAATTACTCTAAACTCGCGCTTCATCTACTTTATTGACCCTCCGAGATGGAACGGAAAGCATAGGTGTCATTGCCTTTTGTGATTTGCTCCTCTCTTCGTTTAGACCAACGCGATGTCAACCTAAGCTAGCAAACACGCACGTTTATTCATTTGCGTAAAGACGCAACCCTGTGTTTATAACTGCTCCGTACCAACTGCCAACCGCCCGTTGACCAGCCGCGGCTGGCGGACGCAAATATTTTCATTTCAGAGCTGCGCGCGTCACGTCGCCGGAACCGGTGAACGCAACTCAATATTCCTTTGGCAGATTCCACGCCTGCAGCTTCTGTTTGCATCGTCTCCACAGAGGATAAGATATGCATAAGCACGCGCAAGGTTACCCTTCAGGGTGCGATGGTGGGTCGCAGCACCTTACCTCCCTAATATGTCAATGTATTGGGCTGACTTAGCGCCCCCCTCTCTATTACATCAATATATGGGGTTACTTTGCGCCCACCCCTTTTTTGTGACTACGGGGCGAACCCCCCCCCCCCCCTGCCTTGGCCCCGTGCGCACTTGCTCGTGGCATGATATTTGGAGCAAACGAATTTCACTGCCTCATACCCAGTGAGCATCAACATATATCTCGTATTATAAATTTATTAGTTTTTTGCAATACGAAAAAATGGCAGCATATCCACGGAGTGAATGATGGAGAGTGGGGCGAAGAATTCGTCCGTCCATTCGTTCTTGCTTCCGTCCGTCCATGCGTCCATCAGCCCGTCCGTGCGTGCATCTGTTCGTGCGTCCGTCCCTGCGTTCGTCCATGCAGCCGCCCCTGCGTCCGTTCATGCGTCCAGCCATGCATCTGTCTATGTGTCCGTTCGTCCATCTATTCAACACTCCAAGTACCACCATCTCGCATCTTTTCATCATATATTCCACATATAGAAGCACCGCCATCCAGCGGACATTCCAAGGACTAAACGAGAGGTGGCACACGCACACTTTCTTACGGCTTGCGCTTCGGGTCCACTTCCCACCTTTAACCACCTCGAGTTCATGGTATATACTAATTCACTGTATTCATGGCACTGCGGCCGAACGCTCGCTAAACCTTTCGAAAACCAAGGAGGTTACGCCCAGCGAGTATGACGTAGCAAACTTTTTCAGTCAGATAGTGCTCAATTTACATGCCAATGGCTGCTAATAAGAAATGAGAGGCGGAGAATTCGGCTTTTACTTTCTTACGGCTTGCGCTTCGTATCTACTTCCCATTTTTAACCACCTCGAGTTCATTCATGCTATATACAAGTTCATTGTATTCATGGCACTGCGGCTCAACGCTCACTAAACCTTTCTACAGCTAAGGATGTTACAGCCAGCGAGTATAACGTAGCAACCCTTTCTTGTGAGATAGTGCTCAATGTGCATGCCAATGACTGCTAATGGTGATCGCAGCCTGCGCGTTAACTAAAAGCCAAATGCTCCTGTTTCTTATTCCCCATTAGCAGCCACTGACATGTACATTGAGTACTATTTTTTATTGTTCAACAACGCACAGAAGAAGTCTCTCACCAGCACCACCTTGGAGGTCAAAATGTTATACTTGTTACATACTACGGAGGACGAACGGGTGCCGCTATAAGGAGTTTTGCCCCTAAAAGCACAATCTTTGCTGTGAGGTGACGTTGGCCTATCGACACCTTGAGTTTCTAGCAACAGCTCGCTGCGACCTCACATGTGTTGACGGCGTTCACTAGGGCCTACACACTTCGCAATCGGCAAAAATGAGGTACGTTGTCCTCCGAGGTGTCCAGAGACCTACCGTGTCAAGCTTCGGGTAATTTTGTTGAGCCAGTGCGGCCGAAATACGAGAATAGATATTGAAATGCAAGACGTCATGTGGACCCTAGCGTGAGGTTTGGGCGCGAAATTTAAAACTAAACTTAGACCTTCGTTTTCTCGAGTAGTGAAGCTAGGATGCTGAAACAAAGCACTCATTGTTTCATCTTGGTGTTCGCTTAGATACTTCGCATAGATGTCCAAGGCATAACCTCCGTTCATATTGGGAATGTCAGGATATACGTATCGTGAGCTACGGATCAACGAACCACGTATGGATAGACGCACGCACGAACAAACGAACCACGGATGAACGGACGGACGGATGGACTAGCGAGCGACCTCACGCGCGTCAAGCGGCAGCCCTACAGTGGCTAGAATAGATCAAGCCACTATTCTATTCCACTGTTCTATTCTATCACTATTCTAGCCACTGTAACGCCACTTCAGGATCTTCCTGATCTGACCTTCACCGGCGCGCCAACTGTGCGCCGTGTGACGTCATTGCTCATCGTGCCTGCGCAGAACTGCACACCGTAAGCCACGCGAAACTGCTCAACCTCAGCCATTGCAGATTATGCCAGAAAAGGCCGTGTTCATTCATGGGCTCCGGAAATTTCGATCACCTGCAGTGCACCCAAATCTCAGCACACGGGCATACAGCATCTTTGCCTCCACCAAAAATGCAGCCGCCGCAGCCGGGATTCAATCCCGCGACCTGCGGGTCAGCAGCCGAGTACCTTAGCCACTATACCACAGCGGCGGGGCAACACAAAGTACATAAAATTGAGTATTGTGCAAACATGGCTTTTCTATACGGGAAGCCATACCGAAGGCAAGCAAGGCGTAGATGCTCCCTCAAGCTCCAAACTAAATATGCAAGCACGTTATCAGTGCAGCGTCGAAGACAACACACACAGAACAAAATAATAAAATAACGCACTGGGAAACGTCAAAGCACCTAATTGGGACATGTGTCTATGCGAACGTAATTACGGGCTTGCGCTTCTTACTAGCTGCGTTCACGATGCGCTTAATCAAGACAAAGCACCAGTTAGCTTTAAATGAGGTCTCGGAGCACCCCATGGAGAATAATTGGCATTGCGCGCAGCGCTTCTTTTGTTTGTTTAATATTTATTCTAACACGCTTTTAGATAACAAAGACGCTACCAGTCACCCCACATCATGACGTTAAATAAATAGCTCAACTTAATTAAAGGAACACTACATTAAAGCACTTAATGACTTTGTACTAATTGTTTTAAAAAACACTACTGTCGTTAGTTTCACAATAACAGTTGCTTTACTCGAAGAAAAAGAATGGTCATGGTTTCGTTTTCCTAATTTCGAGCCGAAAGCACCGCACACGAACATAAGCGTGACGTCACGGGTTACAATTTCTCTTTACCTGTTTCGGCCGCATGAACAAAGCTAGCTGTGGTATGTGCCACATTCCACAGTTAAAAGGACGCTAAAGGCAACTATTAAGTCAGTGTTTATTGTTGGAATAGCGGTCCAGAAACCTCGTAGTGTTAATTTTGTTCCAGGGAAGGGCCTATTCTGAAATAAGATCATGTTTTGGTGGTCCGCATCGGGTTAGCGCACTTTAAATTACCCGCCTCAAAAAGTGGACCGAGCGGACCAACTCACGTCGCTGTTGCCGTGCCCAACATTGTCCGGCTTTATTGTGCTAGTAACAGCAGCAACAACGGCCATTGATAGATTTCCCGCTATTGGCTTCGAGATTGCAAACTTTTTTTTTTCAACTGCACCCGCTAGATAGCACCAGCTGTCCCGTCGAACTAGAGTTACTGTATATATACAGTAACTCTACGTATAACCACGCGAAAATTTAATTTTCAAACCACTCGCGCCATTCCCCATAGTAACGTTCGGCGGTTCTTTTTTTTTTTTTTCATGAGTCAAACAGAAACGAACTAGCAGCATTTCATCGCGGCTCTTGATACACGGAAGTCTCTATATTTAGTGCATGCATTTGATCGATTACCTGTGAATAATTGTAGGCGGTCCATCTGATGCCATCGGGATCGTTTTGAAAATGTCCTACTGCAACACTTGTGTTCTTGTGCATTTACTTCGGTAAGTAGGGCACTGTTGTTGATAATATTGTCATTTTAGATGTTGTCATACATTGAGCTTTCACTCTGACGTAAATTGTTATTTGACATTAGTGTCCCTTTAATACTTCAACGAAAGTAATGTAAAGAAGACACCATCATAATAAACACGTTAGATTGACACTTAAGCTATTATTTAGGAGTCTTAAATTGAAAATTCCCATTTCAAAGCGCAAGGCATGGGATTCGTAAAAAAATTTATTGTAGAAAATGCGCTCGGACTGTTTTATTCATTGTATTCACGGCACGAAAATGGTCATCAACTTGAGTTGTACAGAGACCATAGAGACACTGTCCTATCTTTGCTGCCAGCAGCAAGAAGCAAACCTGCCTTGCAAAGTTCCCTATCCGAAAACTTCACAGCCTGCACAGATTCCTTGTGGAAGTCAAGCACCGCAAGGGGTTTCATATTCTTCCAGCCGAACACTCGTATCCTCCCATCCCAGCCACCCGACGCAACGATCTTGCCGTCTACACGCACGTGCAGGGAAGAGAAGCCATCGTTGGTAACCGTCAGTCTCCGCTTCTCAGCGAGTTGGCCGTCATTCAGTTCGAACACGCACAGTTCGTTGGAAACCGAACCACAAATCCCCCTGTTCACCCTGTGCACTTGATCGAAGTCCATGCACATTATCGGTTCTTTGTACAGCGTCAATGTCGAGACCGGAACACCACCGCTGCGCATGTCGTAATGGACGACGCTGCCGTTTTCGTACGCCGCAAGAACGCCGTTGCCGTCCCTGCTAAGCCTAATGCTCATTGCCATGCCGAGCTGCTCCTTTGATTGGAGAGTGGATGCGACGCACTTCTGGCTTTCCAAATCCCACAGTGAAATCTTCCAGTCTGGGTCGGACGGCGTTGCGATCAGTGTAGACGCTTCGCTAGGAAGGCTGCACTGGCAGAATCCTTTGGCACTTGTCACCATGGTACCTGAGCAAGAAGCAGGAGGAGTGACTTGCCGACTAAGCAGGACCAGTTTATTCGCAAGCGTTAGAAGCAATGCATAAACAATGTTTCTAGACTTAGAAAGTCTCTCTCTTTTCTCTTTCCAATGGCCTATTTCCCACCTCAGTGCAAGGTAGCATACCAGATGCCATCGCCTGCTGTTAAGCTCCTTGCCTTCATCTTATCTTCCTTTTGGACAGCTTTGATTAGAAACACTGTTCTGTTCTCGCAGTATTTCCTGAATAGGCCATTTGCATATATTCGGCATCCCGTAAATTTCGCAACTTCTTCCAAAATTGTACCGCGTTTGCACAACTGTTGCCTGGCTAAGTACGCATACACGAAAGGAAAATGTAGGAATATACTAAAGACGTCGAGCTAGCAGGACGAGGCCGAAACAATTGAGTAACCACAACTTGTAGGCAATGCAGGTGAGACAATAATAAATGTAGACCACACCTACTGTGGTCGGGCACATGTTTTTTTTTTTTTTTTAGCATAAAGAGAGACACTCGCGTAGTCCTGATTTTTACACATTGCTCTGCGTAAATAATTTACCTTAAAACAGACTTCGTACAAGTGCATATTGCAGACCAATATAGAACACCATCATGGTGTTTTATTTTGGTAAAAGGAAGAAAGAATTCAGAAATTGTTTTTTACTCCTTTTTTTTTTGTCAATTTGCCTGCTGTTGTTTCGCATAGGCTTGTGGATGGCCAAAAAAAACTTCTGCACAACCCTGTGCCCGATTACTCTTCCAAAAGCTTTAAGTGTTCGCTGTGCCGAATACCCAGCGATCGGCGTTCAGGACGTACCAGGTAAGTACCGCTTGTAGTATGAGGAAATGCATGCATGGAAGTGATCGAATATGGTTTCATGGCAGACCATTATTAGAACTCATCAGACCATAAACAACTAACCTGTTTGCTTCCACTGGCTATCATTCAAAGTCCAAATTGCCACAGTGCCGTCACGGCCCTGGGTTAACAAAGCATTTTCAGAATGTCCGATCCATAATATGCCTTTATTGTTGTGTCCCACAAGGGTGTGCCTCCTCCTAAACGTCTGCAAAACGGAAAACAGTCAGAGGAATGAGTTGCTGAGACGGTAAACACTACATACGAATACGGATTGGTTCTGAGAGTAGTTGCGCGCAAAAGCAGTTGTCTGTTCTGCTTTACGCGCTCAGCAAAGACACAACCACACGAGACGCTAGCTAGCAAGGGACTGTTTATTGATGGCTGCCGCGCCGCGCGCGCGCCCTCTCTCAAGGTGGCCAGGTGAGGTGGGATCATCCCGATTTACTAAGCGGTGGCCCGCCTGGTACATCCTCCTTTTTCTTTAGGTGATGTAGTCGGCAAAGCGCGTCGGTGCTCTACGTGGCCTAGTTGATCTTCTGGGACTCGAGTCGGCTGCTTCTTGTGCCTGGCAAGTGACCTTATGCTGGGACGGGACCACGTCGGGGTCCCTTGATGGTTGACTTGCAATGGGTGGTGCACGTGCAGCTGACTGGTTCAGTAGAGCATCCGATGCAGGCGCCTGTTGTGACGGATGTCGTTCCTTTCGTGATGCGGATGCTGTTGTCAAATCGGGCGCTGTATCTGATGTTGAATGTTGTCTATGCTGTATAGGCGACGGGATTATCGGTGCGACATCCTTGTCATCCAGTGGGTCTAAGTGTTCGGGCGTCCTTTTTAGATGCTGACGATTCCTTCGATAACGCCGGCCTTCATCTGTACAGACTATGTAAGATCTAGGGCCAGCAAGTTTCTCTACTCGGGCTTTCGGAAACCACCCCTTGTCGTTTCTTATTCTGACGACGTCCCCTTCGGAGAGAGGTGTGAGAGGTATGCCTTTGCCGTGATCCTGTGGATGTTTCCGCACTGACGATGTCGAAGCCGATGAGAAGTCTGGAAGTCGTCCCCGAAGCATCCGTCCCATAAGGAGCTGACTTGGTGTGCGTCCGTCTATCAGGGGCGAGATTCGATAATTGAGCAGTGAAACCCAAAACTCCTCGCCAGCGTACTCACTTTTCTTCAAGAGGCGCTTTACGACCTGTACCCCTTTCTCAGCTAGACCATTGGCCCTGGGGAAGTGTGGACTGGATATGGTATGAGTAAAATCGTATTTTACTGCAAACTGTCTAAACTCTCGCGATGTGAACTGTGGTCCTCCATCGGTACAGACTTCAATGGGTATACCGTGGCGAGCAAACATGGTCCCTAGTGTGTCCACTACGACCTGACTTGTTGACTGAGGCAACTGTTCCACTTCTGGGTAGTTGGAGTAGGCACAGTACGCAACCAGGTAACGCTTGCCCCCATGGTCAAATAGGTCGACACCAATTCGCTGCCACGGCCGCGTTGGGATTTCCCTCGATAACAGTGGCTCTGAAGGTTGCCGGTAGGCAAAGTGCTGACATGTGGCACACTTGCTAATGAGTGACTTGATGTCAGCATTCATCCCAGGCCAGTACATCAGAAGGCGTGCTCTGGCTTTGCACTTGCTCATTCCCAAATGGCCTTCATGAAGACGTTGCAGCATGGATCGCCTCAGACTCTTTGGGATTACCACCCTGCTGCCCCGCAAAAGCACTCCATCAACATATGACAGTTCTGACAAACATGAAGCTAGTTCGCCTGAGACTGGTCGTCCTTCCTGGAGTGCCTCCACCACTTGCTTGAGGTATGGGTCCGCCAGGATTGCAGAGGTCAGTTCAGTCTTCGTGTTCTCACTTACGATGCTGGCTAGCACGCGAGTCGCATGGATGCATACGTCTTGTTCGCTTTCTCCGTCACTCGGTTGGGTTCCTGGAATTCGGGACAGTGTGTCCGCCACTAGCAGATGCTTCCCAGGAACATATTGCAATTTGATATCAAAAGGCATGAGCCTCAAGAAATAGCGCTGCAATCGTGGCGGCATTTCACTCAGGTTCTTTTGTGAAATAGCAAGCAAAGGTCGGTGGTCTGTTTCGACTGTCACTGATAACCCCAGTACGAACTCCCGGAAACGCTCACAAGCAAACGTCACGGCCAGCGCTTCCTTTTCAATTTGGGCATATTTTGTTTCAGCCTTTGAGAGCACCCTTGAAGCATAACCCACTGGGCGCCAATCTTGGTCATGGAGTTGAAGAAGAGCAGCACCTACTGCAAAGCTTGATGCATCAGCTGAGAGTTTCGTTTGCTTCAATGGGTCAAAAACTGCGATCACTGGAGCCGATGTCAAAGCCTTAATAAGATCTTTCCATTCTTTGTCATGGTGAACTTCCCATATGAATTCAACATCATTCTTTATCAATGACCTAAGGGCGTCAGTTCTTTTTGAGAGATTAGGTATGAATTTGCCAAAGTAATTCATAATACCTAAAAACCTTTGAACTTCCTGTTTACTCGACGGCTTTTGCATGTTGGCAACGCATTCAATGAGACTAGCATCGGGTTTTATTCCTTCTTTGCTGATACAATCTCCCAGGAATTTAACTTCGGCCTTCGCGAACAGACACTTTTCTTTGTTCAGTGTCAGGCCAGCCTTTCTCGCTGCCATCAGTGCTGCACGCAGGCGTTGATCATGCTGCTCTTTTGATGCACCCCAAATTAAAATATCATCGACATATACGCGTGTGCCCGGCAGGTTTTCAAACACTTCCGTCATTGCCTTCTGAAATACTTCGGGGGCGGACGCGATACCAAATGGCAGGCGCAAAAATCGGTATCTTCCGAACGGCGTGCTAAAGGTGCAGATCTTTGAAGTGTCTTCGTCTAAGGGGATCTGGTGAAACCCGCTATTGGCATCAAGCTTGGTGAACATCACCGCTCCTGCCAGCTCTGCTTCTATTTCTTCACGTGAGGGTAGCTGATAATGCTCGCGTTTAAGGCTTCGATTAATGTACCGCGGGTCTAGGCATATTCGCATGCGGCCATTCTTCTTCATAATAAGAACAAGTGGACTCACCCAGTCTGACGGCTCTTCCATTTTGCATATGATGCCCTGCGAGACCATCCGGGCCAACTCCTGCTTAAGTGGCGCTCGCAGTGCGTGTGGCACTTTCCTCGGCGGCATGATCGTGGGGCGCGCATCATCCTTCATTGCCAGCGAATATGGTCTACGGATGCAGCCCAGACCGTGGAATAACTCCGGGAACTCGGTGACCCAGTCGGTGCTAACGTCACTTCTTGAAGATACATCGTGAACGCGGGAAATCAGCCCGAAACGTTCTGCTGCATTCAATCCGAGTAGGACTTGCTTGCCTCTCTTGACCACAAAAAAACTGATATTCTCTTGCTGCTCTCCTAGACGTAGTGGCAGACTGATAACGCCCAAATGATGTATTTTGCTTCCTTCGTAGTTAGTAAGTACTGTGGTCGATGGCCGCACCATGGTCGGCAAACGCATCCTGCGAAAGTACGAGTACGGCAATATGTTCGCTTGCGCTCCTGTATCCACTTTCAGTTCTGTCGGGTGCCCGGCAAGGTCCCCTGCCACCGTCCAATCCTGATTTTTGGACACGTTTCTGATTTGTACCGTGAGAACTTGAATGTCTTCATCGGTAGCGTCCGAGGACTCCTCCAGTGCATCTTCTGTTGCAGCGACGCCTAACTCATGAACGCCGCGTCTACTCCTGCAGCAAGCTGCAAAATGGTTTCTTTTGTTGCACAGCGTGCACGTTTTTCCAAACGCTGGGCAGCGTCTTGGTCCGTGAATCTTGCCACAGTAGCCACAGCGTCGACGTTGTCCGCTCGTACGAGACTGTCCGGCAGCGTTTGCAATTTTTTCGACTCTCCGCACTTTCGCTTCGCTTTCAAGAGCCCGGTTCTGCGTTGCTGCCAGTTCCGCGGCTTTGCAGATTTCTACAGCTGATTCTAGGGTTAAGTCCTTCTCCTGAAGCAGGCGTGCACGTAGCTTCTTGTCGACGATACCGCACACTATCTGGTCCCTCACCATCGAGTCCCTAAGTTCGCCAAAATTACAAGTCTGTGCTTTCAACTGAATATCGCGCAAAAACTGTTCGAAAGGTTCACCATCCTGTTGTTGCCGACTGCGCAGAACGTACCTCTCGAATGTCTCGTTGCACCGAGGCGTGCAGTAGTCTTCGAAGGCTTTGACGATCGAGTCATAGTCCTCTCGTTGTTCTGCTGATAGAGGTAGGGTGTTAAACACTTCAATTGCCTCTGGGCCCGCGACGTGTAGAAAGATGGCAGCCTTCTGTGCTGGCGTCCGTTTCTTGTTGGTCTCAGTAGCTTTGAAGTAGAGTTCGATTCGTTGGCGGAACTTTTTCCAGTTGTCGGCCGGAGTATTTGTCAGTACAAGTGGCTCGGGTGGTGGTAGGCAGTCCATCTTCAGCGCAGGGTTCGACTGTTACACTTCTGACACCATGTTCTGCTTTACGCGCTCAGCAAAGACACAACCACACGAGACGCTAGCTAGCAAGGGACTGTTTATTGATGGCTGCCGCGCCGCGCGCGCGCCCTCTCTCAAGGTGGCCAGGTGAGGTGGGATCATCCCGATTTACTAAGCGGTGGCCCGCCTGGTACAGTCAACCGCAATGATTTCTAACAATGAACTTGTGCTATTGCGAACAGCTATCACTGCTAACCTCAAGGTCCCAAGAAAATATTTCGCCGTCCGATGATCCCGAGAAAAGAACATCGCCGAAAAACTCGACCGCTGTTATGGGTCCACCGTGGCCTCGCAGGGTATAGAAGGGGTCTGGAGATCTGTTTGACATCACAAAAGACCACAAAAGGTGAAATAGGAGCTCAAGTAAACAGTACGCTTGTCACATAACTGCCTCTACAAGATTGTAACGGTGTGATAACGCTAAAATTGCGAAAAGCTCGAAGTCTCTGACTTTCATCGCGCGTCTCTCATGGAAGCAGACATTTTGAATGTTGAGTATGGCTGTGGCCGCAGTTGTGCATAAAAAAAGCTTTCTCACCTAATAAACGTAATATGACAAGATAAGTATTACAACAAAAAATATAAGTAACTAAATTCATTATTTACACAATGCGAGATTGTTTTATTTTGTTTAGTTTTAAATCTTTTTTGTACGAAACTATTGCATTTACACTTGCGAGTGCACGGCCAGTTAAGCTGGCAGGCGAAAGTGAAACAAAAAAGACTAAACGCCCACCGCGCCCGATGTTTCGCGTGCCTCGCTTGTGCCGTTGCCAGCGGCAACAGACAATAACATTTCTCAAGCAAAAATGTGACCGCCGCGGCTGGTATTTCTTCGCTGTCACCTCGCCAGTTCTTGGGCGCACTACGTAAGCAAGGTAACGCGGTCGTGCTTGGTGATTTCCCCCCAGCGCACGATGTCTACTTGTCGTCGCCTCGCGTGGCCAAACGACTTCAAGTGGCCGTAATCGGGCGCGTGTGGAGACCGTGCTAACTTTTTCTTTTCTCCGACTTTCTTCTCGCACCCCTCCTCTTGATGCATACTTCGTGGGAGGTCGCCCGTTGGCGCGAGCCATGAAGAAGTTCTTCCAGAAGAAACTACTCAAATCGTCCTCCGCCAAGAAGCAGAGCGCGGCTAGTTTGAGTTCGCAGGATGGACACACGGATGAATTCTACGGATACTCGATCGACCTCGCCAGGACGGACTCGAGTTTCACGAAGCTCCATAAGGCGTGCTGGCTCGGCGACGAAGATCGGGCACGCTCGGCTGCCAAGAAAGTCGACGTCAGTTTTCAAGACAATGAGAGCAGGTAAGCGGAATGGCGTTTTTTTTCTGAGATCGTTAATCGCGCGGGCGGTGTGGTTACAACGTGCTCCCGCCCGGTTTTTGCTTAATGGATGGCGGTACACGCGCGCGCTCTCTCCAAATTTGGTGCGTCCACGGTCAAGCAACTGCTTCGTGACCGCGCGGCGGGCTGTTTGGCACGCACGTGCGAGATTCGCGAAAAGAATGTTTTCGTGGGTGGACGGAAGTCGCCGTGGAGGGGTCACCGCTCCAACCAAGCGGAGTCGCGTGGGTGCGATGCATTGTATCCTGGATTCTCCGCAGCCCGCTTCAGATCCTCCGCGCGAAAGCGGGGGACGGCGGCGGCTGAATGTTTTCCGACGACGCGCCGTCGCCTATCTCTGATGCGGGATGGAAGGGTCTTATCACGGGCAGCATCGACCTCGCATCTGCCTTCAGGGGCCTTGCGTTGTGCGTACTTTTCTTCAGTTTCTGCGTCCACTGTCTGTTGTAAGTAAACCGTCGGCGTGACCCGCATCCACCCGTCATAAACTGTCAAAACGCCAGCTGCGACACCTTTTTATAGAGTCGTTTCCATTGTGTTGTCCTTAGCGCAGCGGCCCTTTGAAGTGCCTCTTGTGTGCGGACGGAGGTTGTCTTCGTGTTTACTTTGAATAACTGAACCGTCAGTTTACAGTGCTGTTTCGTGTGGACTAGACGTTCTTTTAACTCTTTACTTCGTGTGCAGTGATGTTTCGCGCAGGGAATTTTCGCCTGTCATTTTGAGGCAAAGGCCAAAAGGAAATCTTGGTGATATTGCAGGGAATTTCAGGAATGCTTGAATTATCCTATGACTACCGATAATTAACGGTAACAGTGCGCCTTCATCTGCCGTAATCGGTTCTGACGCATGCACCACGCAAGCATGCGTGGCCTTTGAGATTTGTTTGATATTTACACGGAGCGATTTCTAGTTCTTTATTGGTGTTAGACTTGAAGCCCACAATGTGCAGTGGACTAACAGTATCTAAATTAATAGTCATGCTTTTGTTGTGCGGCCGTGGAGGGGCTAGTCATGATTTCAAAAGTCGCCAGTACATGAGACGCGTGTAATTACGGTGCGTGTGTGCGTGGATGGAAGCGGAATTCGGTATTGTTGTGCAGGTAAATATGCTGGGAATTTCGTCAATGTTTGCAGGTGAAAATCTCAAAAATAGGGAATTTTCATGTCTCTGAATTGTAATTGTTTGGCGTAGTACAGAACAACACTGCACAGACTCACTCTGCCCGGCTAAGTTTTCAATAACAATGCCGTTTCTATGCTGACAACTAGCAATCGACTTTTATGATGATGAGCCATGCATATCAATCATTAGTTTAAGGCTTGACCTTTTCTTTATGCTGCACACAATATTGTGGATACATAGTATGTAAAGATGCTGGCTGCCCTGTGACCTTTTGCTGCATAAATAAAAAGCAGATGTATTATGCTGGCAAACCTTGCCTTGTCATTCTTTAGTGTTGGCAAGAAGAAAAGTACCGTTGACTTCGGTGTAATTCTACAGAATTACTCGTGTCAGCGATCATGTTATAAGTCAGTGAAATGGGGACAGTGTACAGCTGTCTCGTATATGTCATTAGCAGAGTGCGGTCTTCGCAGTTTCAGTGTATTCATGGCTTTGTTGCTCACTGTCTGTATAAGCATTTTCTTCTTCTGTGGCAAAAAAAAAGGCCGATGCTTTCACAATGAACATTCACTGATTTATTTCATGCAGAGGTCTGATTCAGTTTGTCTGCTAATCTGGTAGCTTTGTTATTTGGGGCGAAGCTCCTTAAGGCTTGGGTCTGTCCATCTCTGATATGTATGTATGTAGTATTAGGTAGCCACCGGTGACACATACCCGCTCTAGAGGGGGTACATGACGGATTGATGGACAAACAGATGGACGGACACATGGGTGGATGCACAGATGGTCGTGCGGACGGACGGAAGCAAAAACGGACGGACGGGCGCTTTGCCCCACTCATCATCATTCACTCCGTGAATATGCTGTGATTTTTTTATCTATTAAATAGTGCCTTCCACAAGACCCATGTACAAGTTGGGGAAAGTCATTTCTTCAACCGTCGCACTTATAAAAAAGGCTTTTTAGATTGCTAAAGTTGTCTTTCATGACTCTTATTTTCAATTACGGGCTGGAAAAACATGGTTTACTAGCGGAAAAAATGATCTATGAAATTTCCTTGCCTTAACTGTGACAAACAATAGTACATTAGCTGACCATCACAGATTTCACTGTTGAGATCTCATAATTTTTCGTGATATTTTTTAGGAAAGGTTGCAAGGGGGGGGGGGGGGGGGCTCACTGATATCAGCCTATAATATCCTTGAATGAACTGCCAATAAACAACTACTAATCATTCCTAAAAGGGCACTTTCAGAATTCATGTTGTTCTGATATGGAAGCTCCACAGTGGTCTCACCCATTGCCTTCCATTTTTTACTTTTTCCTTACAAGGCTCAGTGGACCGTTGCATCAATATGTTATTTCAGAAGTGCAACTTATCAATGCCAATCCACCTTGTTGCTACATTTGTTTGCGAAGTAGACCCTGTTTGGGACATTGCCTTATGTACAGGGACATGTCAAGAGATTGGCAAAACAGGTACACGTCCCTGCCCAAAAATTTGTCGGGTACAGAATACTGAGCATAACATGACATTTGACAACATCCTCCCTACCCAGCCTTCATTTTGAGTAAGGGAGGGCTTCCCCCTTTCCCTCAAAGAAACATTCTGTGCCATTGTGCATGTGTGTTACCGAACACTACAACTGTTAGCAAGTGCCATGTAGACGGGTCCACTGTTAAAGGTAACACCTGCAAGAGCAGCATGTTCAGATCTAGCTATCCTATGGAAGCATAGTGGCTTAGATATGCAGAAGACGACTTGTAGTTGATAGTTCTGACATCTCTTGACAGACCGCTGACATGTACTGAAATTGTTTACTTATCTTGTTCTTAGACAGCCAGGAACATTGATGGTGTGCATTCGAGTGTTCCCTTTAACAGTGGACCGTACTGTACATGAAAACGTATCTTGATGTAATACATGAGCTTTTCATACACTACACACAAAATATAAGTCGCATACGCTTGTGCTGATTTCGATTACGGAACTATAATCGTTATTGATCTTGTGTCCCTTTCTTTGCTACTGTAACGCTGCATGGCACCTACTTACAAGTCATTAACAGTGCCTGTGTGATCATTATGCCGCAGCTTTTATGATAGTGAATTTCTGAGTGCAGAATTTTCAAGGAACAAAATGCGATTAAGCTAAATACTTATTGTTATTATTGTGCCACATAAATGCTTACTGACGCCTTACGCCTTGCAACTACATTTAGAGCGGGCACAATCAACAGTTCCACGAAATTTAATGGGATGTCATACATCTCTGCCTTGGTATACCGTTGTACTTCTTTGTACATTGATCGCATTTAGACATTGCATCTTGGTGAAAAGATTGTCTACGCTCATTTGTTACATAATCTTTGGTGACTGCAATTGACTTCCTTTATGTCTTGCCTCTGTTGAGATGGTTTTAATGTACATTGTCAGCTGACACTGTGTGTGTAACCAACAGTTTTCTTTTATTACTCCATCTAGCTCTACCAAGTCACTTCAAAATACGTACACTTGATATTGAGAGGACTAGTGAATAAGTGCCTTTACTGCTGTGCAGTCTACACGCTGCCAGATCAGGTGATACAATAGCATTGTATCCTGATACCATTACTGTTTTGATGAGTTGCATTATCTTACCTACGTCCATGTGAAACGTATTCGAGCAGTTCATAATCATCAAATCACAACGTCAGTGTGCTCAGTTAAACGTAGCTGATAAGAGTATGACTTCAATAGCAAAGTGACATGAATTATTCGGACAATTTTTTTTTAATCACTTAGGAGCCCACTTCATCTGGCAGCCGCAAGGGGTCACGTGACTATTGTGCAGCTTCTGCTGCGTGCTCAGGCCCGGGTCGATGCCCTGGACTCAGAGGGGAAGACTCCGTTGATGAAGGTGCTGTACTGTGCTATGGTTGAGTGCCTTGCTCTTCTTGTTATCGTATCTTGTTCAGGCTACTACACAATTCTTGGTTCTTTGCTGTACTAGGCAACCAGTGCTTAAATTTAAATGAATTTAATAACCAATTAGCCCAACAACTAGTTTTATTAAACAAACCATCAATTGAAAGACTCAGCCAGTTTATATTGATAAATTACTGCTTGAGAACACATTCTTGGATTTCGCACCTATGTCCCAGCATCTGAATGCAGGTGCGACTTCAAGGATTTGTTTCATTTCGTAATTTGGCAACATTGGCCAAAGAAACATTTCTTAACTTTGCCACATTAAGTCTGTGGCTTTTAACCCTTTTAGACGCTACATACACACTTGTGTACACCACTCGTTTTCATTATTTGCATCAAGTAAAGGCTAAGAAAGAGCAAGATATATCGTACATTAGATGAATCGAACCTCCTGCATGATTCATTTGTCTTCATTTACCCTCATTTTGCGTTGTACTGACACATATGATCACTTTTCTGAAGGCACTACCGCGTTCGACGAGTCGTGCGCCGTGCCGCTTCCTGCAAGCATTGTGAAGAGCAGAAATTTTCTTTGCTCCCGCTTGACATAACCAAAAATAAATTTGCACTATATTTCTAGCCTGAGATGAGATTCTATTTATGCCAAAAGTAAGTATCAATAACTTCAGGATAAAGAGATATTTAATTACAACTTAATTAAAATGAGTTACTATGGCACACACAGATTTAACAAATATTTCGCTGTTTTTGTTACAATAGAATATTGAGTGCCTTGAAGTAACTTTATAATGATATGACACATTTACAGACAGTTCTTAATAGTTGGCATCTGAAAGGGTCAACATGACGTAAGTTACGTTTAGTGATTAGGGATGGAGCGAATGCTGTCGAAATACATGACCTTGTGATGGGTTTGTTCTTGAAGTTCGAGACGGCATTGTCATTCGCATTTTCTTTTTCACAAGCTCAGAACTCTTGAATGACCACGCTGGTGCTCGCCTTGTTTTCTGTTTTTTTTTCTTCCAGGCCGTGGAGGGCCATCACCTGGAAACCGCTCGGTGTCTGCTGGAGCAGAGGGCTAACCCGGATGTTCCTGACCAAAACCTGGACACGGCACTTCACTTGGCCCTTTCGACGGGACAGGCCGACATGGCAGCGCTGCTTGTGCAGTTTGACGCCGATGTCTCAGCAAGAAACAAGGTGCGAGACTGTTTATGTTTAAGTATATCCTCTTGATTGGCCACTTGCTATGACAATAAATGTAGCTATTCAGTGCGATTTTTCTGCATGTGGCTGCCATAATTGTGCGCTTGCTTATGAAACTGTGGATTAGATTTTAGGCAGTCCTGTTGACATGCTGATAGAATGCATGCGTAAAACAGTCATGTGCTTTATTTAAACTCTGCTTCAAGTCCTATAGAATACTGAGTGGTTAAAGTTAGCTTGAAGCCCTTCACTACAGCATCCCCCCATAGTCCGCCACATAATTTTGAGGCCAATTCCTGTGTTTTATTAACTTGTTCAAGCTTCTATGCTTTCTCGGTATACTAAAGGGGAACAATGAATCAACATAGAGGGATAAATTACACTCTGAGAACACCAATAGCATTAATTTAACTATCATGTGCTTATTAATTATAGAGCAAAAAATTAAGGTCATATTTTCATTTAACAAATATTATGGACCATCTTCCCAAAGGGAACCCTCATAGAATGCGAAGCAGCAGCTGTGCGCATGACGTTGACCTGGTTGAAACGGGCGTTGACGCAAGTGCTGGAAGAACGGTTTAAGGCGAAACTCGGTGTAGCCTTTACTCGAGTACATGTTTTGCAAAGACACAGGAGGCGGGTCGGGTCTCGTGTAAGTTTCATGGCAGATAAACGAGCCGAAAGAGTGTTTCCGCTAGATGTGCACTCGAACGTCGCGAGAGGGTGAAGCGAGAGAGATGACACACAGCGAGCGGCGACAGGCTAAGGAGAGAGTGAGTGTGAGGAAAGGCGTGACCTACTTGGCGCTGCCCCAACAGCTGCGGCCAGGGGAGGGCGGTGCGGACGAAGGGACAGCGATACACAGGCTAGTCAAAGAGCTGCTTCGCATCTAAAATATTGCACCAAAATCTCCATGCGCGACGTCCCGAACTTTTCAGTCACGGCATTTGGTGCGGAAATTTCAAAGTGGCAAGGCCACCCTTATTTTCTTTCTGAGAATTTTTTCCCTGGGCAAGCGTCTTCTCGTGGTGAGATTGGTGTTTTCGAAATTGTAAATTTGTAATTTACAAGATGCATGAAGCATCTATTTATTCGTTGGTGTCCCTTTAGCAATGCTGCTTTCTGGGTTTGACATGTGGTAGTCGTTGCGAGATATGTGACTAATGTATTCTGTTATGGTTCTCAAACACATAGGTTGAACTCCCAGCTACGCTGGCTGCGTTGCAATAGGGCCTAGCTATTGTGTTTCTCTTCACGTTAAGAATAACAAGGCTATTGAAATAGGCGAAAGAATCCAACAATGGCTTCCCTCTCTTAAACCATGTTGCAGTTTGAATTGGAACCCCACGATTTCGTTTTCAAAGGGGGTACTGTTAAGTCGCTTTTCATTGTGTAGCAACAGTTGCAATCACTGGTTGCGATTCAGTTTCAACTGTGCATCTTCTCATGCTCATTTTGCAGGAAGGAATGTCGCCCTTGTACTTAGCAGCTGTGCAGCAGTACCTAGATGTGGCTCGCCTTCTTTTAGACCGTGGTGCCCAGGCCAATGCTGGGGACAACAAAAAAAAGTAAGCATCTTTGTATCTTTGTGCAGCATTTTCGATCAAGGGCTGCTCACTTGTGCACACTCTATCAGAACTTTGCGGAGTGCCAAACTTTATGAGAAAGCAATATTCTTGCCTTTTCTGGGGACATAGCGTCCACTTAAATGCTCCAGCCTGTAGTATTTGCTGCGACCTATACACTAGCCCTAGATTAATCATGCACTAGCAGAGTAGAAACTCCGAATTGCAGTGGAAGCCTCTTCCCATTAACTTTTGCTGCCGGTTGCGTGACAGCTTTCGTGATGTCAAGAAGCCCAAATATTTGTGATCAGCATGGTGTTCTGCCTGGGCTGATTATTTGAAATCTCGGGGTACATTGCATTGTCTGTGAAGGCATCTTTTTTTGTTGTTTTTTTTTAATTCATTTGTGTTGCAAAAGTAAAAAAAGAAAAGTACAAATACAAGGTTGTCCAAGGTTTAACTACTTCAAAAGGTATGCCGATCTGGGCTGTTCTCTCCTCACAGCTGCACATTAAAACAATAAATGGTACTTGAGTATCCTCAGTGCCAAAAAGAAGAACCCAAAGACCACAGTTTCGTTAATAAAGATTGTGGCTTTCTTCTTTATCTTTCTTTAAAGGCCGGTAGGTCTTATAGAGGAAGGTATCGAGCAGTTTTCGCAGGTCTCTGTCCATTCCCTCAGGTGTGTGCACACCTGGTGGCTGGGTAAAAAAAAAACTCGTGCTAATGTGTTGGTGTTACCCAAACGAGGGAGGCCAAGGGACACCGAGAGGATGCTTGTGTTTTTGTTTCGTCATTGCCACGTATGCATGGGCCCTACCAACAGAAACCGTGTCAACGTCTCGTGCTGTAGTGATTCATGTGGTGTACTTCAAAGTACACCACATGAATTAACTTGCCCAAAGCACCGTTTCTCTATACTTCAAGGTATCTCTCAAAGTGACTACGTTCTTGTATTGTACTTTTACATGGTTCTTTCAAGCCAAACCATAATACCTTAAGCAGCTCCCATGAGTAGGCCGCACTATATGACTAGCCCCCAGTAGAGCATTTCTCTTCAATTTTCTCTCACTGACTGATGCCATGCGTTATTTTTCGCCTTCAGAAGTCCATTGATGGTCGCCTCAGAAGCCGGATCTGTTGCCCTGGTTCAGCTGCTTCTTAGTCGAGGGGCCAATGCAAATGCCGTTGACTGTGAAGGTCACACAGCACTCGACCTTGCCAGGAGAGCTGGCCACGAGGAATGCTCCAAGGTTCTCGCCACAAAAACTAGTAGCGCCCACGGTGGTGAGCATTTCTTATTCTATTGTTCAAATGGCACCCGGCCTGTAGTGTGTAACGTTAAGTTGAATCACACATGCCTCCCTTGTCTGCAATTTTCATGTACCACAGAAGATACCTAGATAGATGTGCTCTTGTTGCTTTTACCAGGTGAAGCTGAAAGCGCTGACATTGAGTCATGGAAGTCGTCAAGTGACTCTGAAGCCAGCAGGAAAGGCAAGGTAATGAAGGGTGTTTCTTGAAGGCAACGCTTAAAATGTTCGTGGCATCTGCCAATTTATCAGCTGTCATCAGCCATTGTTACTTGAGCTTTGCAGCCGCTGAACGAATTGTGAACTTTGTGGTGGTTAATTGCTTGAAAAGCAATGCCGCAGATCAAATGTGCTGCTAGTGTGCATCATTTGTTTTCTTTGTTTATTTATTTATCTATTTATTTATTTATTTATTTATTTATTTGTGAAGCTTCAGCTAGCACACAGATATTGGGAGCTGCGAATAGGGTGACCACCCCAACTGCAAACTCTAGCCTTATTCTACTGAGGTGATTAAACATGCACCAACTAGCGCAACAAAAAGTTATACTTGAATGGAACACATGTTTTGTAAACACTCCCTGTAGCAAAAATACAGAAACAAAACAAAAAGAACACAGGAAATGACACCTTGGTGCATAGTCAATGAACATTATTTTACTACATTGAGAGAAAAAATAGTTATCTCTATAAGGGTGCCGCCATAAAACGTTGCGACATTGTGAGCTTTTCCTTGAGAGTAAGTATATTTACCCGTACAGTGCTCAAACTTGACGAATCACGCAATAAATAAATCGCTGCATATCCATGGAGTGAATGATAATGAGTGTTCATTAATGTGTCTATCTGTTTGTGCGTCCGGACAGAGAGAGGCACATATGGATGAAAGCACGAACGGATGGACAAATGCACAGACGGACGGACAGACAGGCAGAAGCACAGATGGACACTTCACCCCACTCATCATCATTCACTCTGTAGATATGCTGTGAAAAACACTAATTCCATCTAGTTACATTATTCCCAAGGACATATACACACAAGGCCATCTAGTGAGCAACTGATAAACTAGAGGTGGCTACATACTACTACTACGAATATTGAGGAGGGAACGACCCACGGCCTGAGGAGCTTCGCCCCTAAAAGCATAGTTAATCCTTCCGGGGTCAAGGATGTAGATATACCTATGTGTCCAAGAAACACCTTGACGTACACGTACGTCAATGCCTGCATGTTTAAAAAATGTGCCTTTTTAGATTATTTTTCATGCTTGGCACGTGCCGACACAATACTGGAATATGTAGTATTTGTTTTCTTGTACTGACGCCTCTTAGTTTTTTATTATTCTTTATTATTTTTTATTGTTTGTTAATGCAGCATGCCGTCTGTTGCTCGTACATACGATTGCAAAAAGGTGAATGGTTCTTACTTTCTCGTTAATGGCCAACTAAGCGTGATCACATCTGTTTCAGCTCAGGCGCCAACTTCCGCAAATAATGCCGCTATGGTAGTGTTTTCTGTTTTGGGGGCTTTTGTTTTCTGTCCAACTTGGCTATAAGATGAGGGATTATTATAGGTTTCTCACTTTTATACTTCCTGGACACTCATACCGCCATTCAGTTAGCCGCATTGTGCTTACGAAGTGGAAGTGTGCAATGGTCGCTCTGCTACGAGTGAATGGAGCGGTGATTCTTTCAAATCATCGCTCGACTGCCGAATCAGAATCTGATTTGTCGGATGTCAACCCATCAGACAAGTTACTTATCAATTCCGACTCGGTTGTTCATGAAGAAGCAACATCTCAAAAGCGCCTACGGGCAGACGGTGCTGAAGGGATCAAAGTTGACTTTTCTCTCTCGGTGTTTCTATTCGACGCCATTCGGTGCACTTATTTTTGTATGTCAATGAACGATGTTTATTAGAAGGCATCATTTTTTAGTGGATATACAATATTTTTAGAGAATTTGTTTTGTTGCTACTCATGAATGAACCGTGTGTAGTTAACAACGCAAAGGAATATTTAATTGCCTTATGATCACCCTAAAGAAAGCTACAATTTTTTTTAATAGATTTGTCTGAAGTTTTGATGTTACGAATAAAAAAAAACAACTCTGGGTGGTGCACCTGGAAAAAAAAAATGCCACCCTCAAAGGGTTAAGTACAGAAATCACTGTGTGCCATTTTAAATGAAACTTGTACTTTTGTATGGTTCTGTGTTATTTGAGAGATCAAGTTACTCGTGCTCCCTCTGGCGAGATTTTGTGAAGGCCTGCAACTCGTTTCTTTCTCTATTTTGTTGTTAGCCACTTGGATACAAAGCTCTTGATAGTTGTGCCTGATAGCAGATTGAATTTCTCATTTCCCTTTTTTTTTTCAGAGGCTACCATACAGCATTGTCATTCCTTCGCCCTCACACCTGTCGCCGCAGCATTCAATTATCAGTGAGCAAATCTTTTCTTCTTTGTTTATGCACACTTTATGTTTCCTTCATATACTAAGATGCACTGAATAGGAAAGCTTAGTTCGCCTGATAGTGTACTGGAAATGCAATGGTTGAGCAGCACTGCTCCATCGGCAACAAGTACTTGACAGCAGCAATTCTTTGTAAGATGCTGCACTGACTGAAAAGTTTTCCTTTAACGTTGTCTCTTTGCACTTTACAGGCCACTCACCGAGCCCCAACCATCTCGGCATCAAAGAGCACCCCAAGCCTTACGTCTCTTCAGTTGTAATCAATTCCAGCACGCCACAGAAACCAGCAGCCAATGGTGAGCCGGCAGGGATCCAAGTCGGCGCTACGAAGAATCACAGCTCTGAAAAGGATGGAGAAAAGAACGGGAACATTATTACGATACCCATGAAGGAGACAACACCAAAGAAGGTGCCGGCCAAGCCCCACTTTGAAGAGAGCGACATTCCCAGCTGGATGGAGGAAGACGTCTCCTTCGACGATTCTGAGGGGGACGCCAAGGCCACGTCGTTGTACGCTCCCCCGTCAGCTTCGCAGCAGAAACGCAACTCTAAGCCAGAGCCAGAACTGCACAAGTCCGTGGAAGTACTGCTCGCGTACGATGGTCAGCAGCTGACAAAAAATGCAGGGATGGAGCCCGACGAAACACTCGTCAAGGAACTGCTGGAACAGGTGACAGAGCCTTCAAAAGCGCCGGCTGCCGACAAGTTGTCTGCGCCTTCTGACAGCGATTGGGACTCGACGGAGGAAATTGAAGACCTCCCGCCAAACAAGGTTATTGATTTAGCATGAACATTATTCAAAATGTTTCCTTTGCGAGACCATTGCTCATCGATTTCACTGCGTGAGTAGAGAGCAGCATGAGACACCTGTTGTAGAAAATTAGTCCCCTCTCCTTTGTACATAAACCTGGCACAGTCATTTGTGCATGCTTTGCAACCTCTATATAGCAAACTTGGATATAATGAAATATGTGTTATAATGAAGTAATTTACAAATAGTCTTACAATTGAATCAGTGTTACGAGTATACCTATATAACAAGTTTTTGACTATAACGAACATAATTTGCTGTGAGATGCAACTTTGTTATAATGAAGCTTGAGTGTAATTGTTTATAAACTCGTGGGAGGTCCATGTCTGTGCAAGGTCTACACCCATCTTGGCAGCCCTAAATTTTAAAAAAATTCAGCCATGATAAAAAGGAAGAAATAGAGAAACTGCAACCAACGAATTTCATGTAATGCTCACCAGCCTCAATCCATTGAAATGCTTTGCAGATAATTGTGCACGCAGCATGTTTTGGCAAGTTGTGTCAACTATTTATGAAGACAGGGCAAAATATTTAAAGGTTTAAATCGATTTAATCTTCTACTTTGTAGATGTGTCTTCATTTAGCTTAATTTTACAACATCATCATGTTGCTGTAAGTGCTACCTTGTTGGATGAGTCATTCAGCGTGCCACCCTCTATGGTGCTCGTCAATAGTGTAATTTTTTTTGCCTTGAATTGAACGTGTCATTTTTGAATCGGACATGTAATAGTGTAGTTTTTATTGCCTTCAATAAAATTTCACTCAATGTCTAGCATGAGATTCGATTCTATTATATAAAAAAAAGAGCATGAATGCTTTCATAATAAATAGATAATCACAAATCAATTGAAAATAATTGCTAAAAGATGCAAAAAATATAGCGATTTTATTTTTGCTGCTAATGATTATTGAGTACCTTGGAATAGCATTTTTTTTTAATTTGACATTGACAGATCTCTATGAACACCCCTGAAAGCTTTAATGTAACAATAATTCCTATGCCATGGATAGCACTGAAGATCCTTAAAGCGAGAATGTGTTTGTCATGAATGTAAACAGCGATGGTAGCGATAATAAGAGGAGTCAATAGTGCAGCCTGCATGAATGAAGTGAAAGAATTAATAAGTTCATTGGGGAAAAGGGTAGATTTCACTTGTTATGGTGTGTGACTACGGGAGGTTATGGCAGGTTGTGATGCATTTCATATTCAATATCCAACATTTAGACCAAATGGTTCAGTGCCCTGTAATAATAATACCACTTTTAGGATTGAGGCGGGAAAGAATGTGGTCTGTACTGTACCCTGTTGTGAGCACCTTGATAATAATTTTGTGTCTATCCCAACAGCAAACGTGGCTGTTGAATGAGGGACCATGGTCATTGATAAAGAAAAGAAGGGAACCCTTAAGGGCTCATTTTTATTTGTTAATTCTCATTCATGTTCATTTATGGTGTATTTACATGTTTGTGCTCTTGTAGATGAAACTGAAGAATTTAAACACGGAAAGAAGTGGTGATGAAAAAATTAAAGTACCATTAAGAGTTGAATGCATAGCAATATCCTGTTCCTAGTGCGTAATTCAAACACTTAGTGCATCATTCTTTTCGAACATGCTTTGCCCCACTACGCGGCAATAAGGGAATAAGCGCTGTAGCGTAGGTGCCTTTCGTAGTAGGTGACCTGCTTTAAACCACGAAGCCATTATGATAATCACATATTTTTGCTATGCAGCCACTACGTGGTTTTAAGAGAATAGCCGCAGTAACATGTGTGCCTTTTGTAGTGGGTGATCAGCTTTAACTTATGAAGTCATTATGGTGATTACATGTTCTAACACACGATAGCAATTTATGCTTGTACTATGCATTTTTAATGTATAATTTTGTGTTGTATTGTGATGCATTTATACAGGATGCATGTGTTTGTAAAGCATGAAAGTTGCTTTCACTACATTTCCCAGCAGAGGAAGGTATTTTCACTGTGTCCACAAGCAGATGTGTGGATGGATGTGTGGTAGAACCCCCTCACGCCGCACCAACGACCCGGGTTCGATGTTCACTTGGACCCAGAATATTGAATTAGTTTAATTGGACCTTCTTCAATTTTTCGGTCACGCACAAGATTATGATTTTTCTCTCACATTCAACGACCCCAACGCCAGAATTTCTGTGAAATGAGCTCTTTAACGCTATCGTGTTAAAAATGACATTTGCATTTTTCTCATCAGGTGATGGAAGGTACATTGGGACGTCTAGACACACTCCAAGGAACCGACGAAATTTGGGAAAAGAACCCAAGCGTCCCTGTAAATGCAGATGAGACTCGGAAGGCGAGCTTTCCAAGTGGCTCCCCTCCAACAGCAGCTCCACGCAAGTCGTCCAGTAGCCCTCAGCGCAAGCAGTCGACCGAGCAGCACCAACCACGTGCAGACGGTGGGTAGAGCAACATACCATTATTGCAGTAGTTTTGTGCAAAGCTGAAAAGAGCTAGATGCGTATACATTAAAATCTTGTTTAGCAAACCTCAGATTAACTTTTTTGAAGATCTTCTTCCAAATGTCTGTTGGTTTAATGTAAAAATATTTCACTACTGCAAATTTTAATATATTGAATGTTTCAGAATAATGTATTGAATTTTATCCCCCCTGTATCTCCACAACACTTCAGTATAACGAATAGTGTTTAATAAAATTAGTCACGGCTGTGTAAATAATGCCCAGCTTCGTACCTGTCACTATCATCATCATCATCAAAACGCCTGTGTATTTGATGTCGATGCTTTGCAGTGCGTAAGAACTATGCACACGCTTAAGAGTTCGTCGTTCAGCAGTCAAGGTGCCCACATCTGAATAGATCGCGCTCTTTCTCAAATAAATGGGCATTGGTTTTGTAATATTTCGTGTTTGTTTTTTTGAACTTATTGGAGCATAATGCAGTCGGGTGATTCTACGAGAGATTGGCAGGGGTCCGAAAGTTGATATTTTAGATTTTTTTGAGTATTTTATATTTTGTATGCAAAGCACCCAGTAGTCCAAGAGTGAACTTCATTTTTTTTATTAACTGCATAATTTAGAAGGAAAAATTATCGAACCTATTTTGTACAGAGGGACCTATTTCATGCCATGTCATTCTCAAAAGGTAACGGCAACATAAAAATAAGCATTAATGTAATAGAGGCCATCTTTTTTATATTAAATGTCTGCATAATTAGGAGTGCATCAGCGTTTTTCAAAGCCTGTGGGCTAAAGCAAACTGTTTTTGAAAATTCTTTGAAGAGGCAAGAATTTTTTGAAGTTGCTATATTTGAGATTTTTCTTTCCCCTGAGGTGAACCAGCTAGTGTTTCATAACTTGGTGTCCTATTACAGCTTAATGTTCACTATGCTGTCTGTCAATAATGTTGCTGCACCTCCAATACATAATTATAGATGACCTCAAACTTTCAATTTTGGCGACAGTTAAGCATTATGAAAAATGAATATCTAAAGGAACCCATCCTTTTATTCTTGTTAAAACCACAGAAAAACCCCCTTGCAGATCACAGAAAAAGAATATTAAAAAACATGTATTGTTTTATTGGGAGTGACAATATTACGTGTACAAGTTCTAGCTTTTTGAGGATGCACTTAGGTGATAAAAACATAAGGAATCGGGCCAAAAAAGGCATCTCTCATAATCATATGGTGGTTTCGGGACGTTAAACCTTGCATATCGATTGGGCCAAAAAAAAAGTGGGCCTGATCTTCTGAGTCATTTGAGCGGGACCACATATACAGAGCAGAAGCAATTTTGGTAAATGGGAATGATTGTTTTAAGCATGCCCTTCCAAAATACCTTAATTTGCCCTTTTGAAATGAGGCTTGAAACTCCCAGTTTATTGGCACCTCGTTTACTGATGCTGTCGCATGAGGCAGCTATGACAGTAATCTGTTTTTAACGCTTTGGTAAAATGGAACAGGCTTACGGAAAAGACAACGGACGTCTAACAAATGTTGAAATTTAGTAACGCTGCTGCCACCACCTTGTCTAGAACACGGTTTGGCGTTTTCTTCCGCCAGTCGCCTGCTCAACAATGTAATGCAAGCCCCCTTTTGGAGGCATTGTTTGATATCATAGAGTTTCATCTATAGAAAACACCAAAGAATCTAATTTTAATGGAACATACCGAAATTAGTCGAATCTAACGTGCACCTTTATTCCGGTTAAGGGAGTTCATAAATCGCAGGTGCGCTAGAATCGAGTATGAAAAAAAAATGAATACGGTCATTCTATTGCCATCGGCATTCCAAAATGGTCGCCACCTACGTGCGTCGGCATGGCGCGTCGGCCATTTCTGCCTATGTGTTTCCCATGTGCGGCACTTCGTACGTGTGCTGAGGAGTTCGTCATCTTGGTGTGCATTAGCATCGACGGCATGGAAGGGCCGACTCCAAAAACTTGACGGGTGCACCACTATGCCGCTTTTAAAAGAAAAGTCATCGCGTGTGCTGAAACGGACGTAACTCGGGCTGCATCGCGGTCATTCGGAGTTCCCGAAACGTGCGTGTGGGACTGGCGGAAACAAAAGCAGAATATTGTCGACAGCAAAGATTCACGCAAAGGCTTCAGTGGACCACAGCAGGGTTGGTTTCCTAAAATAGAAGAGCTGCTCGGCGAGTATATGATTGAGCAGTGAGCGGCACAGCGGCCCGTGACGACAGAACTGCTCCAAGTGCAGGCTATGCAGTTAGCCTTAGAAAAAGGGCTATAGCGGAGCCAGTTTAAAGCGAGCAGGTGCTGGCTAACTAACTTTATGAAGAGGAAAGACTTTTCCCTCTGAAGGCGAACGAGCATATGCCAAAAGTTGCCGGAGGAATACGAAGAAAAGCTTCAGTTTTCAGAGGTTCGTCCTAAACTTGCGGCACAACAACGGCTTCCTGCTTGGGCAAATCGGGAATGCCGATCAGATGCCTCTTTACTTCGACATGCCTGGCACCACAACCGTCAAGAAGAAGGGGGTGAAGCAAGTTCGCGTACTGGCATCGGGCCACGGTAAAACTAGAGTGACGGCAATGCTCCATTGCACGTCAGATAGGCACAAGCTTCTCCTATACCTCATATTTAAACGGAAGACGCTCCCGAAAGGAGTCTTTTTCCCGAGTGGTGTGATCATGTGGGCCATCGAGAAAAATGGGTGTGCGTTGCAATCGATGTCTTACTCTTTTTTTTTTTTTTTGGTCGTGGAAACCGGGTGCACGTTAGAATCGAGGGTGCGGTAGAATCGAGTAAATACGGTAGTTTTGTTAAGCCTAGCAAAGCACGAAATCTCACTCTGCCACCTAAGAGTGGCAAGCTAGGGTGCGATTAAGATGGCATCTGAAATGGTGGCGCAGATGGTCATATGGCTGAAGAATATCAAAATTCTCTATGCAAATGCAAGATGACCTAGAAACCATGCATTATTTTAAGATAGCTTTATTTCATATTTTTGCTACGTGTTTCAGTTCCATGTTTTCGGTACGTTTGGTTACGCTTATATAAGGATGCAAATCGTGGTTGTTGATTTGTCAGTGTGAAACACTGCTGTAAGCCATCTGGAAGAAATGCAGCGTTTTGAGAACACCGTGGCTTTTGTTCAACGCATTCCTTAGCTTAAGAAGGAAGAGGAGAAGAGACCCACTCCAAATGTTTATGTTCTATCTTCTGAGGTCCAGTGCTGGTGTAGGAGCATTTTAATTTATTGTTTTGTCTTCAAATATGTACAGATCGCTTGAGAGTGTGTCACTGTCTATTAGATTTCTGGCAATAAAGCTGAGTGAAGCGCACCAGAAATGCGCCTTTACAGAAATGTATTCCTCAAAGTGCCACAACTGCTTTTCTTCTGTAAATATGGCCCCGTTCAAATTACCCAGAAGCTCAGGCCCACTTTTGTTAATTTGATTCCTCGTGTGTTCATCGCCCAAGTGCATCCTCGAAAAGATGGGATTTGTACCCGTAATATGGTCATATCACCACATGGCATCACCATCATGATATCATGTGGTGATATCATCGGTGACACCATCACTTGTTGCATAGCAATGTCATCATGACACCATCATTTGGTCACATGAGTTTCCATTGGATGGTAACTTTGTCGGATGGACACCCACTTTTTTCGGTGATGCAGCAACATTTGGCAATCATTTTGGAGATTCGTCTGCGAATTCGTCTGTTCCATTCACAAACTTTGCTTAGGTTTCATCTGAACTACACTTAAATCTCGTTGTAACAAAGTTGCATCTTGCAAGAAAATAAGTTTGTTATATGTGAAAATTCATTGTAAAGGTTAAGGTTATTTCTAACAGTGTATCTATTGCAAGACTACTTTTCAGTTACTTCGTTATGACCGATATTTAGTTAAATCCATGTTGGTTGTATTGAGGTTTGAGTGTATCTTGTGTGCCATTTACTTCAGCTCTTCTAAGGTACCGTTAAAAGCACATTTTTAATACCACATTTTTAACGTCTGCATTAGAAAAAGTGCTTAAAGGAACTTAGAAAATGAGCTCTGCATCAGTAAGAATGTTGAAATTGCTGATGTTTCTTAGCATTGTGGTATTTGTTGGTGTCTTATTCTATCCATATAATGATTGATATGTGGGGTTTAACATCCCAAAACCACCATATGATTATGAGAGACGCCGTAGTGGAGGGCTCCGGAAATTTCGACCACCTGGTGTTCTTTAACGTGCGCCCAAATCTGTGCACACGGGCCTACAGCATTTCCGCCTCCATCGTAAATGCAGCCGCCGCAGCCGGGATCCTATCCATATATGTTTCAGTCATCGTTACATCTCTTTAAGCAGCTCTGTACTAAATGAGCTTGATGGTGACACAAGTTGGTTGAATAGATGAGGTTGAGATAAAGTCATAGGCCAGAGCCTGCGATGGCAGATAAAGTTAACTAGGCTTTTTTTTTTTTTTTTTTTTTTTTTTACAAAGGGGCCTTTGTCTTTCCTAAATAGGCTGACAGCGATGTCACTTAGAGCGGACTCTTGCTTTCGCAGATGTCAGTACGCCACAGAGGCCTCCCCGGTTAAGTAAAAACCGGCTCCGCAGTTCTTGGAGTTCGTCATCATCTTCAGCGCCACCATCAAGAGCGAGTCCACTGGTCATTGGGGGTTCCAGGCGGCCAAGCCTTCTAAGGGACAGTAATGGTCGGCCTGACAGCGTGTCACCGAGACCCCCCGACGATCCGGGTGGCAACTACGGAGGCTCACATGTTGTTCGCAAGAGATCGAACGCCTCAAGCCGGTCGACGAAAAGCTCTATCGCAGACAGGCAGGAAGTGACGACAAGGTACGTGTGCCTTCTGTGGTAGCAAAGCCATTTGTTACGGCATCCAGCTGCTGAGTCGTGCATTGTCGAACCTCTATCATGCTGAATATGTGCCTAATAGAACAGTGCATCTACATCTCGACATGTGCATATCTTAGGCTTGTGCTAACAGTGAATATTATGTTTGTAGCAAATAGTGATCTTCATCAAATAATTTCTAATCGAATTTGAATAGTGTATATGACATATAAAAAAATGGGCATATTTATGATGACCTAACATGTACAGTATTTAAAAAAAAAGAAAAAAAAGCCCCTATGCAAATGTCTTTTTTTTTTTTTTCATTCAAAGAAAGTTAAAACAAGTTTGAGTAGTAGCAGAATTTGACTTTCAGTGGATGCAAGGTATAACCTGTCAAATACGTAACATATTAAATATATAAGCAGGCATAACAAGCTTTTAAGCTTTGAAAAATGATGAACCGATTTGAGGGTAATATGTTCATTTAAATGGGCCCTGCAACACTTTTTCAACTAGCCATGAAACGGATTCACTAAAAAAGCTTATTGCCTCACGAATTCACTGCCACAAAAATGTTTAGAATTTGTCCTGTACAAGTGGAATTGCGAAGATTTGTCACATGCTGTCATTGCATTCTCCCTTGCAACCAGCTTGCTTCGCTTGTCTGCAATATTCTCACAAAATTTTAACTTCTCAGGCAGCTGGTTATGTATGTTCTCTTCACTCGAGGATGTTGCCAGCAACTTTATGCTTGCTGTTGTAGTCAGCATTGCGTTGATTCACATGTTTACTTACACAAAGCACTGTCTTTTGATTCTTGACAGGCACGTTGTGGAACTGACGGCACTGCCCACATCCGACATAGGAGACCTGGTCTCAACACTGCAGAGGGAGGTCAGCTCAACACGGTAAGCCGTTCTGAATAAAGTGCGCAGACGGCCCCCGCCCTTAGTGGCCAACCTCCTTACGAGTTTCATTATTCTCGTAAGAGCTGTATTAACCATGCGTGGTCTAAATGCATGTGCTGTGTTGCATGCCATTGCAGCTTCGCTTCAAGGTTGTTTGGGTAGACTTACTAATTACAATGGTACTATGTTCTTGGCGAGAAAATTGCAAAATTTGAGAACTTTTGGTCACTTTGGCAACACCTTTTTTTTATTCCAGTCTTCGTAACATTGCTGATGTATGTAGCCATTTGGTTGCGATGGCAAGATTTCATAAGAATCTTTGGATGAGTTCAAAGCCTCAATCCAATTTATCATGAGGCAGATAATATTGTCTGCAACACCAGTGGTTCTGTTTTTTAAATATGTATTGGGCAGAGCTTTAGCAATACATCAAAAATACTTGTTTAGCAGTATGTGCTCTAGAAATACTATACCAGTCTTGACGCAGCACTTGTTTTGTCAAGACACAAAAGCTGAGCAGATCTGTGTGACTGTTCTCAGCGAAAGTGTGTACATTATCTTACAAGAAGTGTTGTGCCTGGGTAGATGTAAAAATGTTACTTTGCCAAGATGAGTGTGCTGTAAGCCTTGATAGTTTTCATTTTAATTGATAGTTGTATATTAGCCATCTCTGTAAAGCACGGAGTGCTCAGAGCGCCCTTCCCTCTTTTATCTCCGGTGGCCAACAGGGCTGAGCTGGACGAAGAAATTCAACATCGAAAGGAGGCAGATTTGTTTGCCAGAGAGCTACAGCTGCAGCTCGCTAAGAGGGAGCAAGCCATATTAAGGTGGGGCAATACTGCAGTTGAGAAGATCTGAGCACTTATTTATAACTTTGCCACACACTTGTGAGGTCTCGTATTTCTGTGACTGCTTTTAAAGTGTTTTTAATGTAAGAGTGCTCGTAGAAAACAAGAAACAGCATGACCTGCATGACAACAGAGCAAGGACGGCTAAGTGCCGTCCATCTCTGTCCTGTTGTCATGTGGTTAACGCTGTTTCTCGTTCCTATGCATCTATACTGACTGGCTTAAATAAGCAGTCTAATGAAAAATAGCAGTAGTATATGTGCTGTGCAGAAATTTCCGCCTGAAGAAAGTCATCTTTCAGATCAATGACATAAGCAAACGCAGACATCAGTTTCACTGTTACTTGGTGCAGGCCAGACATTCTAAGGTTAGCAGACACCAAAAAAATCAAAATAAAAGCAACTCTATTTGCTTGTTTCATGTGCTCTAAGCTTTCTGCAACAAATGGCACAGCCTTCGGATCTTGCCACATAGACGTGCCAAAGGCCGTGTTAGCAGTGCCAGCCATTCAGAGGACAATATCAGCACATTTGCAATCGTGAATGTCTTGTGGCGCTATTCTGAAGGTGAATTTAATTGTGAAATCAGTATGCTTGTTTAGAGTCGGAAATGTGGAAATTTTCGCACATTGCTGCTCTGCTTTTCTAACATTTGCACATTGCTTGCATGATAGTGTAGAACTTTACAAGGCACTTAGGGCTTGTAACACTCTCAGCCTGTCTCAATGCTGCTCATTTGGAGGTAGACAGCTGTCAGACTACCTTGCGGTCACTGCGGGGTTCACTGCATGGCTTTTTAGGCAAAAAGGAATCAAGCAAGTCGAAACTACCTCATGAGCAAACATGCATGTTGTGGCGCATATCATCACAGTGATGCCACTGTACTGTCAGTTCATTTTTGTTTGTACCGTTGAACCCTTTTATAAAAGAGACACTGATGTAAAAGACAATTTGGTATGAGACACCAGTACGCCTACATCAAGATAAAGGTTGATTGAAAATGAGTACCGTATTTACGCACATAATTTGCACCCACACATAATTTGCGCACCCCTAACATTTTGCCAGCTTTACGAAATAAAAAATATTTACTTCCATATTTCGCGCTCCCCAACCCGCCCGAGCCAGCTCGCTGGCGCGTGCACCTTTAGACTGTTTGATGCTTCGGCCGGGTGCGCGCCTCGCCGAGCAGACGAGCACAGTCAAACAGCACAGGGTCCCTAGAAAAGGGACTAGGGTCCCTAGAATACCGCACTCGAACACGAACCTGTTGATGGGTCGCCAGAACTGTTCGAGCGTTTGCCTCCCCCATCCCAAATTTCTACCACCGCGATAATAACGAGAATGCACGCGGTCACGTCACGGCACGGACGACTTTCTGCATCGGAGGCATTTGAGGGCCTGGTGATCCAACTGTTCCCCTCGTTCTCCGCGTCCGTGCTGCAAAGCACGCTTGGTCAATTTCAGAAGTTTAAGTTTGGCCATCTGGCCGACGTGTTTTGATGGTTTCCTTGCAATGTGCTGCAGTAATTATATATACGGCAAAATGGAAGCTCGTTGTTGTGAATTTTGCCAAAGAAAATGGGAAACACACTGCCACAAAGTACAGTACTTCAAGGGGGGGACGTACTTCAACATGACGATTGGCACTGTCATACACGAGGAAGCATGTTTCCTGCCATTGAAGGAGGTCTTTTCAATCGAGTGCAGATGCTTAGTTCTTCTGGTATCACCGTGTCAGTCTGACCTAGTTTCTCCCAGCATTGTCGAAAGAGGTTTAAGAAAATGCAATGTTTCCCAACCAGACTTCACGATCATCGATTCCCGCGAAACCGCTAGTGACCAGATCTGACTGGGTAAAGTACGTGCTAATTCTTTGAAAAGGAGCAAGTACACTTCGTTTGAACTCTAGTTTATTTCTTCTTTTATAAATTTTTCTTCTTCTTTTATATATTGCATGCGTTAAGACTATAGCACAATATTTCGTATGTGCTGGCAAAATCCCCACATAATTTGTGCACGCCCTTCTCGGTGCCCCAAAATCGGGAAAAAAAGTGCACAAATTATGCGAGTAATTACGGTACTTGGTATGCTGCCTATGTGAGACACATTATGTATAGGACTGGAGCTGCTCCGTAGTGCATGTATTTTATAAAGGGTTTGAACTGCATTACACATTTTTTCTGGCTTTCATGCTAGCTAAGGAAATGTTTGATTTGCGATGCGGTCAGCATTCTCTCTTTGGTACCTTTGTTATCATATTGGCTTCAGTTTTTTCATGCTGAAAAATATTGTCCCCACTTGAAGTCATTGCTAGGAAGCCTATGACTTAAACATTCGTGGTTTCATCAGGTGCATTACAGTTTTCCAATATCGTAATTTCTTTACTACTGCATCTAATTGCAATCTTGTTTGAAAAATAATAATTGACACCATAGTAGAAGAAACCCAAATAAGGCCTTTGTGCGGTTTCATTCCCAGGAAAAATAAGTTTCACGCAAGAGGAAACAGTCTTGCCTTATTGCTCGTATGCTTGGCTGCCACAATTCGCAATCTCGCAGTGTTACTTTCAGTCTGACTCTGTTAAGAGTTTTTTCGCTTTCAACAGAGATCATGAAACAAAGGATGCCATTGACAGCAAGCTAGCTGATCTGGAGCAGGAACTGAAAAGTGCGAAAGTGCTCATCAAAGATGTGAGTAAAAGTGCAGGAACACTTGCCTGCCACACTTTTCACCATCTCTCCTTATATGCACGGATTGTGCAGCAGCCTTACTAGTAGAGATGTTACTTCTGTTGCCCCCAACAGAAGTAATTGAGTCTTGAAATCGATAGACAACCTTCAGTTCAGGCAAAAACTATTTAAAAGTAATAAATTTAATGCATATTTCACCAACTGCCGGGTCCAGTGGCCACCTCTTGAACTAGAGAAGGTGACGTCTGGTGGCGTCGCATATGCCCGAAACGGCCAGGCCAACAACGCGAGCGACAGCTCACGTCTCTCGACCTGCTTAGTTCTCCCTACAGTTCCCAGAACTACTACGAACGGCACCGGTAGTAAACAGTGCTCCCAGCTGTGGTAAGCGCCAGTGCTTTTGCGCAAGGGGGAGAGTGGTATAATAGGAGAGGTGGAGAAAAGGAAGGGACAGAAACACTGGGGCCCTGCTTGCGCCTCGGCAATTGTGACGGCACGCTTTGCGCTCACATGCAGCTGCCGCGTGCTGACAGTCCATCAAAAATAGAGCAAACTGTTCAAAAATACGTGAAATGAACTGTGTTTATTGGAACAGTTGCATCTTCCGAGTAGAATTTTGATGTTTTTATTAGTTTTCTAATCTTTCTTCAGTATCCCTGTAAAGAAGTGCCATGTTTGATTTGTGACGTCGGACCCTTTCAATAAAGATGAAGGAAAACTTATATTACTGATGCTTACTTTCATATTGCTATTAGCGTTTTAGAGCTATGTTATTGTACATGTTGAGCTGCGCCAATTTTGTGTCACGTTTGTCAGTTGGGAATGTACATGTCAAGCACATCATTGGTTTGTGCATTCTCCTTCCTTTCTTCTGCCGTGGCAGCTTCACCACGAGATTGAGTTCCTTCAGAAACAGTTGAACTCGTACAAGGAATCGGCCGACTTGTACAAAGATGCGAGTGAGAAGCAAGAGGCATTGTTTAAGGTAAGCCTTCATGAAGAGGGGCATATGGTTTTCTCTCTTTTTGTGTTGTCTTTTTTTGTGCATGTGTTTGTCTGCAAATGGGTTTTATGTCGTTGCTGAATGAAGGTAATGCAAGTTTTTTCGCAGTGTGATGGGTCTTGGGTCCAAGCATGAGATCCCAAGCACGACGAGTTTCTTCTTTCGTTTTCTCTCTCTTCTGGACAATTTCTTTTTCAACATTCACCAACAACCTTTTTCAACAGGTAGCTGAGCTGTTTATGGAAAAAAGCAGTCTCTTCATATCGGGATGCACGTATCCACAAACAGTGAACGTACAACTTTCCGTCTTAGACCTAAGGGTGCTGAGAGGAACGAGTCTGCTAGTCCCAACTTTGTGACGTCTGCTAACTTTATGTGCTTAGTTTGCATGTGATGTTCTCTGCATTGAACGAGAGGCATGTTTGTGGCATGTTTACCTAATTTAGTATGTGGCATGTGCAGCTGATTACTATGCATTTCTTGGAGTAACAGGTTCTGGACACGTAGAAATTCATTCTTAGTTTTACATTTCGTCGAGCAGCGTCATTTGGAGATAACGCCTTGTTTGTGCGATTCTAGAACAACTTTAAAGAATTATGCCACTGTTAAAACAGGCGTTTTTTTGCATTGCAAAGTGGTTTGTTGTAAAGAGGTGAACGTAGGCAGGCAGTGTGGTAGACTGTGTCATGAACGTTGAATGTTTGCAGGAAATTGTCAGCGAGAAGGAGAAACAGTGGGCTGAAGAACGTGAGAAGCTTCTGCTAAAAATCAACGAAAAAGATGTTCATTTATTGACTGCGCAAACAAGTACTGAGGTGTGTGCTCCAAGCATTGGTAAAATTTATAAACCTTGTATCCTCGTACGGTAGCACATTATTGTTTTTAAAAGCAACATTATTTATGGACCCCTACTGGACTCCCATGCAGTACTATATTTTCAGAGTGTATCGTACGCCACATGCTCAAATGCCTTTGTATGCATTTTTGTTGTGGTAGTCTCTTTGCAAGTGTGATTGCTTGTTCATTAACCTTGCATAACTGTGGCTTTGTGCTAATAGCATGCATGTATGTAGTGTTCTGAATTGATCGCATGTGTAAATATCTGCAGGTGTGCCTTGTTCGTATCTCCCACACTTTTCAGACTACCGTTTTTCGAAGGCAAAGGTATCTATAAGGCATATTTGCTGATTAAATGTCAATCGATGTATACTGATAATGGTATACCTACTTCTCGTGAGGCTCATCCTGAAACTCTATTTTGTGGCTGCGACAAGCCTTACCTGCATCAGAGTGCACGTGCATTTTTTCTCTCCCCAATGGGGTAGAAACAAAAGTGGCACAGAACGACATAAGCAAGCTACAAATTGAATGCCATTGCCTCTTGTGCCTGGTCAAACCCAGATGATCACTCGTTAGTTGTTATAGATAGACGCTCCTCAATTCAACGGTTTCAGATACCGCCGCGTGCCCACGCCTGTGCTCGCAATCACATTGAAAGTAAGCTGTGTATTAAAAGAGAAAAAGAAAAGAAGAAATGTTCAAGGTCGTGACGCACGTGGGATGTAGCTTCTTTCCCCCGTGCCATCCCTTTTTGCTTAGCTTACAGCACGTTTGTTGGGATGAGAGAATAGAGAAAGCACTTGCAGCACGCGACAAACCTCTACATCATCGCTTGTACTTAAGGTGTTCTAAAAACGTTTGTGGTGGTTGATTCTTACGGCAATAAACTCCCTTAGTGAAGCCATTCAATGGTTACTTCAAAAAGTGTTGCAAGGCCCCCTTAATTAAAGAGAATGATAAAGGAGAATTTTTTTGTAAATGTGCAGCCGGTGCCTAGTGTACAAAAGAAATGAAAAAAAAAAGTTTGCAGAGTGGTACTAGGAATTGCATTTTTCATTTCTTTAATTTTTGTTTTTTCAGTTTGCTGCCATACAGGAGAAGCTCGGTGCCCTGCACGAAGTCCTCGCATCACTCAATCTCAAGGCCGACTCAGCACACAGCATTGAGCGAGCTGAGGAAGGAATCGCCAGGCTGCTCACCTTGTCTACATCTGCTCTGAAGGACCTGCAGAAGCTCTCTGAGAGCGCAGAGCAGACCTCCCGTGTTCTCCACAGCATCGACAACAGCTTTCACGCCAAGAGGTACGACTTAGGCTCAGACAGGAATGCGAACAACTTGCTCGAGGATGATGCCAACAACCAGCTCGCAACAACGGCGTCTTTGACGCAGAATTTCGGCGGCATCAACCAGACACTCGAACGCCTCGAAACTAATCAAAAAGTGCTAACAGACACGCTCGAGGAGATACAAGCGGTGTTGGCGAGCAAAATGAGCTCCGGCTCTGCGCCTCGGGAAGAACTAAATTCTTCATATCTGCCATCGAATGGCCACATCGCTGCTGTTCCATCCGCTACTGCGGCAAGCGCGGACTTGTCCGACATCAGGGAAGGTGTTGGGCGGGTGTTGGACAGGCTCGACTTCTACGCCGATGAGATCAAAAAGGCGTCGCAGTCGGAGGTGACAAACGCCACCCAAAAAGTGGTGGAAGCGTTTGCAGAGTACCATGCTGCCACAAAGCAGGAAATGCTAAATTTGCTGAATAAGGTGGCATCGTCGCAGAAGAATGCTCTTGCTACCTCCACCGCAGGTCATTTGGCTGCGAAGGGCAGCTGTGATGACGAGGAAGCCTTCAATGGCTCGGCTTTGTCTGACGAGTTTGCCGAGATCAGATTGAATCAGAGCACCGCACTTCGCGAGCTGCAGAGCCTAAAGGACGAGCTTATCCAGATGGACACGAGTGGCATGTTTGCAAGGCTGGAATCATGTCATGAGAGGGGCATCCAACAGGTCTCAAAGATTGTGGAGCCCGTCTCGACTGAGCTGAAGTCTATGCAGGTAGGTGAGCCTTTTCATACGGGTTTAATCAGATGGTAGATGTTGCGTACTGTTTCCTGAATACCATTTGCTTGAAATAGAAGGTCGGTATATGTATCACGGTAACCCATAAAGTAGAGCAAAGTTCGTAAAGGGTAACAGTTGTCATCTACACGTTTGCAGCATGAACCTACCTACATAATTGCCCTGATCGAACGAGTTAGTTTTATTATTATTGCAGCTATAACAACACTCAAAGCAGCGCTTCATTATTGTCACACTGCGCGAAATGGCCGTACATCAAATAAGAGTGCTTTTTCATTTGTTAGACTAAGTTAGCCTACACTAGCGACTTTTGTTCTTTTCCTTCACTAAGGTAACCATGCAACGGCAGCACGAAGACCTTCTCAACCGCATGGGCGAACCCGGCAATGTGCCAAGTTCGGCACAGTGGCAGGAGGTGCTGCACCGACTTGACGGTATGCTGGAGCAGACTGCCTCCCTGCGGAAGAAAGACCGTGCTGGCTGTTTGCGCCGTATATCGGCAGACCATAGGGAGAACATGCCAGATGCAGACCTCACAGCCGTGCTCAACAACCTGGCCACCACGCTGACCGACCTCAAGAACGAGGTGCGCAGACGTGAGAGCCTCCGAAGTGAAGCTGCACACACTACTTACATTGTGAGTAGGACCTCGCTTGTCTGAAAAAGTTGCACCACTTTTTGAAAGATTTTAACTACAGGAACATTTCTTTGGCTGCATTAGCACTATGTGTCCATTGACAGAATTAGGTATGGTTGCTGCATATCTAGCCCTTACAAAGAATTGAACGAAAGTTTGCAGCAGGGTAGCGCGGCACCTATCCTTAACTCTGAAGCAACAGTGTAGAAGGCAGCGCCAAATGTGTGCAACTTTAAGCAAGAAAAGCATTGGCACTGTTGTGTCATCAAAATGTAGAAGTGCATATGAGACACGCTTGAGAATGTCTGTATAATGTCTGCAAATTGAGTGCATTAGTTAAAAAAGCACCTAAACCATGTGTGCTCACTTTCGCACACTGAAGATAAGCACAATATTATATACATTCTGTAATAGAATGCATTCAACCGCACTGTGCTTGAGTCACGTCTCTGAGGACTATAAATAAAGTTCTACCATTCATGCATCCATCGTGCCCCTGATGGTTGTCATGGAAGTTGAATATATTATCTAAATTGTTGCTCATGCTCTTCAATAACAATTACAGAGTGTTGCTACAGTTATTTGAAACTAAATAGACTGTTGTGTAGTTTATATTACTAATTATACTACTAGAAATATTAGAAATACTACTAGAAAGCTCATTAGTTTGGCTTTCAAATTACCAAAGACAAATGTATACTTGTTAATAGGCATTTGGTTTACTCAAAAATGATGTTTTGAAGTCTGTTTTGGGAAATTTTCGGCATTGGGAATAAATGTAGCGGCTAGTTTAATCGAAAAGTACGTATATGTCATCGTCATCAGCTTGACTATGCCCACTGCAGACCAAAGGCCTCTCCCATGTTCTGCCAGTGTGCTCTGTCCTGTGGGTATAAAGTGGCAGCAGCAAGCAGAGGACCGAGGAACATGGGAGAAGCCTTTGTCCTGCAGTGAGAGTAGTCAAGCTGATGATAATGATGTATACGTACTTTCTGATTTAACTAGCCGCTACATTTATTTCTATTGCCAAAAATTTCTCAAAACAGACTCTGGAACATCATTTTTTCAGTAAATAAAACTTGTACTAAAAGGTATACCTAGCTTCGTATTAAGGCTAAGCTTTAAAAAAAAAAGAACGAAAAAAGTTTTAAGTTTTTATTTGTTCTGAAACATATAATTTTTTTTGCACTGCTAATTCTGCTTTTTCGAGGTGCCATGACTTCTGTGGCTCTGTTCATACAGGAATGTGAAAACTTGGCCTATGATTGGAGGAGATATTTCTACTTTATTGGCATGCAATACATACTGATTTGGGGGAAGTCGTATTATTGAAAATTTAGGGATAAGAGTTAACGGAGAGTATTTTAGTAACCTTCGATTCGCTGAGGACATTTCCTTGATGAGTAACCCAGGGGACGAATTACAGCTCATGATTACTGAACTAGACACGGAAAGCAGAAGGGTAGGTCTGAAAATTAATACGCACAAAACTAAAGTAATGTGCAGCAGTCTCGGCAGAAAGCAGCACTTTGGGGTAGGTGGAGAGACACTGAAAGTTGAAAAGCAGTATGTCTACTTAGGACAGGTTGTAACTGTAGAGCCGAACTATGAGGGTGAAATAACTAGAAGAATAAGGATGGGGCGGATCACATTCGGCAAGCTCAAATCACGAATGATAATTTACCATAAACGCTCATGCGGAAAATATATTACTGCTGCATCTTGCCAGTACTTACCTACGGAACAGAAACGTCGAGGCTTACAAAGAGGGTTCAGCTTAAATTTAGGACGATCAGCGAGTGATGGAAAGGAAAGTGACAGGTGTAACCTTAAAGTGACAAGAAGAGAGCAAAGTGGAACAGGGAACAAACCGGTGTTAAAGATATCATAGTTGAATCCAAGATGACGAAATGGACATGGGCTGGGCACATAGCACATAGGCAGGATAACCGCTGGTCATTAAGAGTAACTGACTGGATTACCAGAGAAGGAAAATGCACGAGGGGGAGACAAAGTTAGATGGGCCGATGAGATGAAAAAGTTCGCAGGTATAACGTGGCAGCAGAAGGCACAAGACCGGGTTGATTCGCAGATCATGGGAGATTTGCCATGCAGTGGGCGTAGTCAGGCTGATGATGATGATGTATTATTGAAGCACGAATGCCATTTAGTAAGCAGTTTTAAATGCATGAGGTTCTACTGTACTTAAAATGGACCAAAGTGGAGGTTTTGTTTTAACATTTTGACTGCATCAGTTAAAGCAGAAGGTTTGTTGAATTGCAGCCGTCAAGTTAGCTTAGTTAAGGTAATGCAGGTCATTCATAAGTTATTCATTTGAGTCCCATCATCTATTCCTTTCTTGTTTATTTCATTTATATTGATGGTGAGAGATGCATACAGTGAGTCTTAAATCACCCTGGGAAATCACCTAAAATCTGTCCAATTCAAGGCAACAATGTGATTAACATATCGTACCCATTACTGTTATTAATCAACTTGTGTTTAATTCAGTGTAACATCAATTGTATTATTCATGGTTATGTACTACTATAGTGCCCACAGTGTTCTGTGAATATTATTTGAAGGATAAGGCTGGGTTTCGCATAATCTGATTTTTCGCTGAGTGTGTCTATGGCATTGAGAGTCACTAATGATAAGGGCTGAGCCCATACTAAAACAAACTTGTTCATTTAAGTGGGCTTGTTAAACATTTGCAGGCATGTTTAAAGAATAATAAAACATGACTTGATTGATTTATTTATATGTGGGGTTTAATGTCCCAAAACCACCATTTGGTTATGAGAGACACCGTAGTGTATGGCTCCGGGAATTTCGACCACCTGGGGGTTTTTTGACGTGCACCCAAATCTGAACACACGGGCCTACAACATTTCTGCCTTCATTGGAAATGCAGCCAATAAAACATGACTTGAATAAGTTAGAATACACAGGCTAGTATTTAAAATGATACAGATCGAGACAACAAAGTAATGGAATAATAAAGCGAAAATTTAACATTTCTTTGTTGGAATTCTTCCTTGAGAACACTCAACTTCTGAACAACATTATGGGTTTTGCTGCAATCCTTACTGATGAAAAGTGAGCATGACAAGTGATGCACAAACATGGAAATATCGGTGAATGTTGTTAGTTGATCTCGTGTACGGGCTGTTCATGATCACCTTGAGAAGATAGCATCTCATGCGTCAGAATCGTAATCAAGTGTAATGCAATGTCTTATGATGAGCACATCTGCTGTATGTCCGTGTGCTCAGATTTAAGCGCATGTTAAAGAACCCCAGGTAGTCCAAATTTCTGGTGCCCTCCACTACGACGTCTCTCATAATCATGTGGTTGTTTTGGGGTGTAAAACCTCGCATATCAATCAAATCATTATCACGAGCACATCTTCCCTCTTTACTATTGTCACATTGTGCATCCCCTCTTCCCAGTGCTACTATGTCATAGCAGCATGGATATAGTGCAGCAACTTAATATACTAATACCAGTGAAAGATCAAACTCTTGATTGGGCAGACTGGCGGCCAACTAAGCGAAGGATGCTCTTTGTACAATGGCAGCAGCGTTCACAGTAGTACCATCATTTTATAATTTGATCTATGGGTATAACGCCTCGGCTATTCGCACACGAGTTGGGGTACACTCGAGCGTGACATCCCATGCCTGATAATGTTTCAGAGTATTCTACAGTTTACATTTTACTCCATGCATGTAATCGAATCAGAATCACTGAAAAGACTGCAAGTTGTGGCGCGCAGTCATAGGCTGTGCTGAGCAAAATGTGTGCACTGACAGTTTTATCGGTGGCAGTGAAAAAAAGGCTAGTATGCTTGGCATAATTATCATTTAAATCTTCCTTCTTGTGCCCCTGGTATAAATGTCTTGTCACTTAAATTTTTTTTTTCCGAAAACTAGCGCCATTTTCCTGTCAAAGCCTCCGAGTGTGAGCACTAAGAATGTTGCCTCTGGTGTCCCCCCCCCCAAAAAAAAAAGAAAATGTTTTTGGCATCATGTGGGATCTGTGCAATTAGCCCAATTTGGCGTTCATTGACAGGCCCAGGTTGAAGAGAAGCAAGCTGCCAACACCACAAGTCTCACTAAGGAATGCTTATTAGGAGATGCCAAGCTGGCTAAAGAAAGATACAGGTGAGTTTGCAATGAACGACAGCAGCAAATGTGCATTTTCCAGGTTTGTACGGATTTCAGTTTCTTGGTTGTATTTATGCCTTTGATCAACAAAAACCCTACGTAAAATTGCCCTGTTGCTTTAGTTTCCAGTCTTGTTTTATTGGAATGTTTGTCCTCCGTAGTCAACTTGTTTACCCATTTCTGCTGTTGGGGCAGTTTTTTAATTTTTACTTGAATTCAGATATCTCTCCTTGTTTCGTAATTTGTCAGCCCACCGCAGTGGAGCGGTGGTTAAGGTGGTTGGCCAAATGGTCGCGGGTTTGATCCCTGCCGCGGCGGAAGCATTTTCCACGAAGGCGAAATGTTATAGGCCCGTGAACCGTGCCATGTGAGTGCACATTCAAGAACACCAGAGGGTAGAAATTTTCGGAGGCCTCTGTTACAGCGTCGCTCATAATCATATTGTGGTTTTGAAACGTAAAACCGCAGACATTGTTATTATTATTGTCCCCGTCAGTCATGTATGGAGAATCTCACTACGGTCCCCTGATCTTGGGAACCACTTCAGCGCTTTTCTGTTCGTGTACTGGTCGTGTTTTGCAAACTCGAATTAACTTGAACTTCAAAATCTGAGTCTCAGATTTTGTCGTCAAGTTAACAGGTCTTCTCTTCTTTTATTCTTGTGCAGGAACAAGAGGGCTCTGCTGAAATATAAGTCGGAGCTTAAAGGCATCAAAGAAAAACTTAAGGCGAGTAGCAGAGAAAAAGGAACTGGCAGTTTTCATCATTACGTTGACTTTCTTTCAGCTGATATCTTTAATTCCTTTTTGAACCTTCCTTTATTTTATAGAGCTTGAACCATGCTTTCGATAGAGACGGTTTCACAAGTCATCACCAGATTGACCGTCACGTGTCAGAATTGCAAAGAAAGGTATGTTGCACTTCTGCTGGTCAGTTTGGCAACTTAACTGCACTCATCACGTAACTGTGTCCGTACATGTCCCTATTCAGGCCTGCTATTCCTGAACGATGTGGGTTTACCTGTGTGTTTCAGATTGACCTGCTGTCACTGAAGATAGAATCTGATCGCCATTATCGAATGGATTTGGAGATTAGTGACCTCAAAACAGGTAGGAATATAAATGGCACTATTAATAGTAGAAAGTGTTTATATGAATGTTAGTCGTTTGTGTGGGGTCTCAGGGTTGTGTGACGGTGATTTAAAGCTAAAGAAATCTTGAGTGTGTCTTCGTCAAACGCTATCGCAAAATGACGACAGTTTACAAAAGAACCTGTGTGTTTGTAGGGTCCTACTTTAGAAGGGTCGCTCTGGTGTGGTGGTGACTCCCATGAATGTTTGCTGTTTGAATCGAGTTTGGGGGAGAATAACAATAAAATGTGCCATGATGTTTGGGCATAGGACAAACCTAAGCATTCATACTGCTATGCCCAAGATTTGTCTTAGCGATGTTTACACGCTGAACATTTTTGTTTTCATTGGTACCTAGAAATGCAGCAGATCAGGCAGCAGATGGCCCGAGAAGAGTTGCTCAAGTCAACCTTGGGCTTCACGGTGAGTAGATTTGAATTGTAAATATTTTGAAAGCAGGAACACACTCGTAAAGCAATTGTGTTGCGGCACAACTCCACTTTTGGCGCTGAGTGATATGGTCGAAACACACAAATGCAACCGCCTAACTGTCAGTAAGGTTGAAGAAAGAAAATTTTCTTAAAAATTGTTTAATTAGGGAATTTACAGGGCTATAGAAGTAAACGTAGCGGCAGTTGACCTATGTAACCTGCTTGTCAAAAACCTGCTTCTTCCCATTCTGCTTCTTTAATTCAACTTCAAGATCATGGGTGTTCAGCGATCCTATATACAAATTAGGTGTAGTCTTTCACATTGTTGTGCACGTTGTTGGCTTGGGTTCATGATATTTGAACAAAGAATCTTTCATGTGCCAAGCCCAACAGTCCTTTGTGTGCCAAGCCTTTTGTTCATTTTCATCTTGGTTTTGTGAACAGGCGCAACCTGAGAGACTCGAGCCTGAAGAAACACGTCCGAAACGTTTGGAACAGAATGGACAACAGGATTTTCTATTTGAAAAGTACAGGAGCGACTTGTCCGTAAGCATCTTCAACTCATCACTGCTTCTTGGTTTCTGTGTAAAAAAAAAAAAAAAGCCATCACACTCATATGCGAAGTTTTGTTTCACAGAAGCTTATGCTGAAGAGGCATTGAAACTGTTCACGATTTGAAATTCTCTTTTACTGATTGCATTCACATAAAAATTACAGGCAGAGATCAGCAATCTGCAGAGAAACCTCAGCTCTGAGCCGGATCTCCATTATTCGTGGTTGTCGTCAAAAAAGGGGGATACACTGGAGGAAGACAAGAAAGTGGACGTGTCAGCCAACAAGAGCTTTCCCAGGTAACTCGACTGAATATATATAATTTGTTGTCTGTTCCAGTACAGTTAAACGGAACTAGCCTTGTACGGTAGTAGCAGTGTGGGAAAACTGATCACTGGAAGCTCATTGTGTCGAGAGACGTGCACAAAACTGCTGGAGTGGAAATTATGTTTGTAAAGTAAAGCCAGACCACCGCTGTCTTACTCAAAGCACAGTAAGATTCGCAAAGAGAGAGCACAATAACAGTGTTCGGCTCACACGCTGTACGAATTTAATGGCATGAACTTTCTGGGATACTAGATACTGCTCAACATGTGTCCTAGTGTTGCTGGCTTCCTTGTAAAGCCTTGAATTCTTGGCAAATATTAGCAGAGAGCAAGCTATCTGCACCCATTTATATATATATATATATATATATATATATATATATATATATATATATATATATATATATATATATATATATATATATATATATATATATATATATTACTTTTTTCAGGTGCAGTGATTTTTTATTTTACGTTTACGCTAGCATTAATGTAAGCAGAACAAAAGCATTTTATCTTGAATTCGATATCACGAGAGAAAACCATGTTTTGAGGAGGACTCCAGACAAATGCTGACTTCACATCTGCTGCCAGGACTTAGTGAAAGCTTCCAACCCAGAATTTAATTGTTTTTGAATTATTGGACATGTGTGAAAGAGAAAAATTGTCACCTGTTAGTATGAAGCTTGAAGCTACAGGCAAAGTGAGCTGTATTTCTGAGCCTCTTGGTGTGTGTACAGGCGCAAGCCACCGAATCAAAACCAGTCCACGCCACATCGGGTGCCCCTGTTTCCTGAGCATCTGCCTAGTTGGCCCATGAGTCCGGTAAAGAGGACAGCCCCACCAGTGCCGACACAGAGTGCAGCCACACGTCAGCGTGTTCAAGCCATGTTGGATGAATCTTTTGCAAGGCACATGACTGCAAGTAAGGTCAGCCCGTAGTCCTTGAGCATCATCCTAGAAAAATATATAGTCATTGAAACCTTGTAGCAAGTGTGGCTAAAGTATAACATCATTGCACATCATACTGTAAAAAATTTCTGTGCATTATGACAGAATTTTTAAACTCTCATTAAGACGAATTCTTGAAGATGAACAATGCAGGAGTGTTTGTTTACTCTATGGAAAACAAAATCTGCTTAAGATGAACCTTATAACAGGCCTCTTCTGTTGAGACAAACTCTCCTAGTGGCCAACAATGACAGGGATTCTGCGCAACGAATGTTATAGTCTTCATGGGGGCATTCAGGTGAACAAAAAAAAAGCAAAAAAAAACACGCATCAATCCAGGCTCACCCACTACTCATACCATTCGTCGATTGAATGACCAATTCTTTGCTTAGCCATTTCTTTGCTTAGCCATTAGCGCCAGCCCATGCACGCACTAAACTATACTTTCATCTATCTGTATCTAAAATGTGAAAATGGTTCGAATTCACCTGATCAGATCGTAGGCACGCTTGATCAGGCATTGGCCGAGGGACACCTGTGGAACATTGTGACTTACCTTCTTTTTATATCTGGTATCTGTGATCAGCTATCTTAATTCTACATCTGAGATAGTTCTAATTGTTGGTTGGCAGTTGACTGGGAAGAGCTTATCAATGACTTCGGCATGATTTCTCCTCAAAGGCTTCCCCCGCAGGGGCGCCTGCGCAAGTGGGCGTTTGGTGTGTAGCGACACCACGGACCCGAGCTAACGGGGGAGTTTTGACTCCCTCCCGCGCCTAGCCGTGCGTGGCTTTGCCGTGTCCGGGGAAAAGGGGATCCTGGGGGTTGAGCTGACGCTGGGTGATTGGACCTTTAAGGCCCCCCGGCAGAGGCAACACACCCCTTTGGCCCCGGCTTCACGTAGACGGCACCCCCGGATTGACCCGCCCGGGGGGAATCGGCAGTTGCCTTTTCCTGTCTCCACCTCACATCTTCGTCTTTCTTCTCACTTTAAATCTTTCCTGTCCTCTACTCACTTCCATTGACTTCCGTGTTTCCTGGCGGCAAGGGTTAACCCTGTGAGGCTATCCTACCTTGGATACACCATATTCGGTAATAGTGGTGGTGTACAGCTGGCGTCTGCAGGTCCTGTGCTTACAGGCCCTGCAGCGTCCCCTTGTAGGACTCCATGGTGAGTGGCTGGCGCCGCTGCCGAAATAAACCTTTTCTTATGGCTAGCTCCTTCCCCCCACTCCCTGATCGCCCTCAGAAAAGAGGGCGCACCGATGAAGTTTTCCAGTTTTTTGGTAACCAGAAAGTATCTTTTCCCCGATTTCATGTTATTCACGCTGACACACCCGGCAAATCAGTGCGAACACTTTCACCTTTTCTAGTATCAAAGTCTTTGACGGAAATCTTTGGCCCAGGATATAAAGCAACGAGAATGGCAAGTGGTGACCTCCTGTTGGAGCTCCGCGACCAGAAACAATATGAGAGACTGCCTAATCTAGTGAAATTTGGAGATACCAAAATAATAGTAACCCCACACCGAACCATGAACACCACCCGTGGCGTTGTTTCAGATGATGACCTGTTAGGGCTTACGGAGGCTGAACTCCTGGAGGGTTTTAGCGAACAAAATGTCATCAACGTGAAGCGAATTAGGATGAAGCGTGATGGCAAAGAAATCCAGACTAAGCACCTGATACTCACCTTCAATTCAAGTGTACTGCCCGACTCCGTTGAGGCTGGGTATATCAAGCTTCAAGTGAGGCCATATATACCAAATCCTCTCCGATGTTTAAAATGCCAGCGGTTCGGCCACAGTTCACAGAACTGCCGAGGCCGCCTAACTTGCGCGAAATGCAGTGCTGAAGAGCACACATCAGATGCCTGTGAAAACTCTCTTCACTGTGCGAACTGTAATGGGGAACATGCCGCATACTCGCGGTCATGCCCGTGCTGGAAAAAGGAAAAGGAAATTGTCACAATTAAAGTAAAACAAAACATTTCATTTAAGGAGGCACGAAGGCAGGTGTACTGCCTACCAGAAACTAGCTTTGCCGAAGTGGCGCGTCGGGGGGCAGCGCCACGACGGCCCCTGGCACCCGTCTGGCACACGCGTAGTGAGCCAGCGGTGACGCCATCCGCCCCCTCGGCGGCTGCAGCCAGTGCTGCTCCGCCATCCAAGAAAGACCCACCAACCTCCGGGCTGGGGGCCGCAAAGGCCTTGTCTTTAGAGGCGAGGCCCTCAAAACAAATGCAGCGCTCGCAAGAGCGCATGTGCAGCGCCTCGCAAGAGGCAATGGACACAACACCGAGCATGAGGGCGCAGCCAGCGCCTAAGGATCGGCGCGACTCCGTCGACCGATCCAAAAAAGAAAAATCTCGTGTCAAGGCCCCTGGAAAGGGTCCGTGAGCTAACTTTTCATCCTTCAGCACACAGCACAAAACACATCTAAAATGGATACACAGATCTTACAGTGGAATGTGAGAGGACTTCTCCATAACCTCGATGATATTAGAGAACTTCTTAATAAACATACTCCAAAGGTGCTGTGTGTTCAGGAAACACATTTCAAGTTCACACAAACAAACTTTCTAAAGCATTTTGCCATCTTCCACAAAGACCGTGACGACGCTGCCGCTTCGTCGGGCGGTGTCGCTATAATAGTTGATAAAAGTGTTGCCTGTAAGCAATTAAACCTCCGAACTTCTCTTGAGGCAGTTGCTGTCCGAGCAGTGCTGTTTGGGAAGCTACTAACAATTACCTCTATTTACATTCCCCTGTGCTATCAACTCTCAAAGACACAATTTCAAAGCTTCATTGATGAACTTCCTCCGCCATATATAGTCGTTGGTGATCTAAATGCACATAATCCTCTATGGGGTGACTCGTTTAGATGCGCGAGGACGCCTAATAGAACACTTTCTGTTTTCGTCAGGTGCATGTCTACTAAACAAAAAAGAACCAACGTATTATAGCACTACACACAACACATACTCTTCTATAGACCTGAGTATTGTCTCGAGTGCTATAATTCCATATCTGGAGTGCTTCGTTCTCAAGAACCCTTTTGGGAGTGACCACTTCCCGATTTTGTTAAAGTTAACAAAAGAAGATACATGCTCGCCTGACTTTCCTCGCTGGAACACCAAGTCAGCCAACTGGGAACTGTTTCGAGAAATTACATTTTTAGACGGAGATGAGATTGCTGATTTTAATCTAGACGATGCTGTAGCATACCTAACAGGTTTTATTATTGACGCTGCAGTGAAATGTATCAAGCAAACCAACGAAATGACCAATAAACGTCGCATCCCATGGTGGAACGACGATTGTCGGAAAGCGCGCAATAGACAAAATAAAGCTTGGAGACTACTCCGAAATTACCCAACGGCTGAAAACCTCAACAATTTCAAACAGGTTAAGTCCCAAGCCAGAAGAACGCGTCGTCTTGCAAAGAAAGAAAGTTGGAATAGGTACATCTCCGGTATAAATTCTTACACTGACGAAACGAAGGTTTGGAATAGGGTAAACAAGTTAATGGGTCGGGAGTCACACCCCCTACCTTTGGTAAGTAGCCGAGGGGAGAGCTTGGAGGAGCAAGCGGACTGCCTAGGCGAACACTTTGAATACGTCTCAAGTGCATCGCACTACACAGAAACGTTCTTAAGATTCAAAGAACGCAAAGAGCGGCAACCCCTTAAATCTAAACGTACATCCAGAGAAGCTTACAACTGTCCATTTTCATTAGCTGAACTTAAGGCATCTCTTATGTACTGCAACAACTCGGCGCCAGGTGGCGATCGTATAACGTACGAAATGATCAAGTATCTTCGCCCAGAAGCACTAAAAACACTCCTAACCCTCTTCAATACCATGTGGGAAGCTGGATATATTCCATTGTCATGGAAAGAAGCGATAGTCATCCCGGTACTTAAACAAGGCAAAGACCCGTCCTTGGCCGCCAGCTACAGGCCAATAGCGTTAACAAGCTGTTTATGCAAACTATATGAGAAAATGTTAAACCGGCGCTTAACCCACTTCCTAGAAAGTAACAGTATACTAGACCCCCTTCAGTGTGGTTTCAGAGAGGGGAGGTCGACAATAGACCACCTTGTTCGCATAGAGACATACAGTGCAGTCCACTTATAACGATATCGAGAAAACCTAAAAATATGATCGTTATAACCGGTGATCGTTATATCTGGACTGCCGCCAAAAAATCGTCGCCGGACGTACCTTTTGTAGCTCCAGGCTTCATTTCGATATTTTCACCAATTAATAAATATTGTAGATAGTAGGATGTCAAAAACAAGACTTTATTTATTACTCCGAAGAACGCATCACGGGTTCGGTGAGGAAGAGAGACTGACCGACGGCGGGGTGGGAGCAGTGGGAGGAAGAAAGCACAGCCAGAGGTACACAGCCGGAATGCCAACGAGGCCCCGCCCCGATGCCGCCGCGCCGCTTTGCTTTTCGTTTTTTTTATTTTCTCTCTCTTTCCCGCTTTCTTTCGGCAAGCTACGAGTAGCTTGCCGGCTTGCCGTTGTAGAAGGCGGGGAGCCGCGGAGCGCGGCGCTTTGCTTTTCGCATTTTTTTTTTTTAATTCTCTCAACCTCTTCGCGGTCGACGCGCGGCGAGGCGCAAAACGTGACACAGCTGGCGCCATCTGTAGCGCGTCGCGCCAACTCGCGATGCTCTCCTCGGCTTTTTGAACGGCCGGGACGCGCTGCCGGCGCTGTGCTGCAGTGGCGGCAGATACATACTCGCCTACGCCAACTTTTCGCCTTGTCTCGGCATAGTTCGTTTCAGAGGAACTTATCAATCTAAATGTTACGATTATTCTGAATGAAACATGCCGTCCACGGCAAACTTTTCATCGTTGTATCCGATATGCGGTGGATAACATATCGTTATATATGGTTTTTTCCCCCATAGCCCCAATGCATAAAATGAGACTGTTAAGTCGACCCATCGTTATAACCGATATATCGTTATATGTGGTATCGTTATAAGTGGACTGCACTGTACATCAGAGATGCATTTATTCATAGGCAGTTTGTACTTTTGGTATTCTTAGGCCTGGAGAAAGCGTACGATACCACATGGCGATTCGGGATCCTACGCGATCTTGCCGCCTTGGGCATCCATGGGAACATGCTAAACACAATTAAAAGTTATCTGTCTAACCGAACCTTTCGCGTAAAAGTGGGAAATGCTCTCCAGATCATTTACCCAAGAGACTGGTGTTCCGCAAGGGGGCGTGCTGAGTTGCACACTCTTTCTTGTAAAAGTGAACTCCCTGCAGTCAGTCATTCCAAGCGCGATGTTTTATTTTGTGTATGTTGATTATGTGCAGATGAGTTTCAAATCATGCAATATGTCTATCTGCGAACGACAAGTGCAGCTTGGAATGAATAAATTTTCTAAATGGGCGAATGAGAATGGTTTTAAAATAAACACCCAGAAAAGTACTTGCGTACTCTTTTCCAACAAACGAGGGGTAATGCCACTACCAAACATTATGATCAAGGGAGACCAACTCTCTGTGAGCATCGAGCATAAATTCCTAGGAACCACTTTAGATTCTAAGCTCACGTTTATTCCCCATATTAAACATGTAAAAATGAAATGTCTGAATGCGATGAACCTCCTAAAGCTCCTATCACGTACAACATGGGGTAGTGATCGGAAGTGTCTCTTGAACTTGTACAACAGCCTTGTTTTGTCGCGTCTTGATTACGCCTCTATAATTTATCAATCCGCAACGCCAAGTGCTTTGAAAATCCTAGACCCCATTCACCATCTGGGTATCCGACTGGCAACCGGTGCTTTCAGGACAAGTCCGATCCAGAGTCTCTATGTAGAGTCCAATCAGTGGTCACTTCACCTGCAGCGATCCTATAGCAGCTTCACTTATTTTATAAAGGTACGCGCAACCATAAAGCATCCTTCTTATCCAGCTATAAATGATATGACCGCTGCCACCCTCTACCATAATCGACCCGCAGCGAGAAAGCCGTTCTCTTTGCGTGTGAGAAGCTTAAGTGAGGAAATGGGTGTTCCGCTGCTAGAACTTTGTCCTATGCCCACAACAAAACATTTACCGCCGTGGCAGTGGCAGCTCATACATTGTGACACTTTCTTTGCCGAGATCACTAAACATGCACCAGAAGCGCATGTTAAAATGCACTTCCGACAACTCCAGTCCAACTACTCATGCGTAGAGTTTTATACTGACGCTTCTAAGTCGCATGCAGGGGTGGCTTATGCAGCCGTCGGACCATCCTTCTCGGAATCCGGTGTGTTGTCGGCTGTGAAACATATACGAAAATCAAACATACAAAAATCAATTATATTCACAGACTCGTTAAGCGTCGTAAATGCATTAAGATCCCATTTCAGATTCAGAAATCCGGTAATAATTGAGCTGTATTCCGTTCTGTGTACAGCATATATGTCCAACCAGCATGTTACTATTTGCTGGGTTCCTGGCCATAGAAGCATCGAGGGCAATGTGTTAGCTGACCAAATGGCCACATCAATTATATTGCGCACTATTAACCCCACAGCTACTGTCCCTGCAACAGATTTGAAACCCTTCCTACGTAAGAAACTGTGAAACCACTGGCAACGCTTGTGGGACACAGAAATAAATAATAAGCTTCACTTGATTAAGCCGCGGTTGGGTTACTGGCCCTCCGCTACAAGAACACGGCGAACTGATGTCCTATTCTGTCGCCCCGGAATAGGACACACTTATGGCACCCATAGCTTTCTGCTGACTGGCGATGAACCTCCTACTTGTGGTAGATGTGGTGAGAGGCTAAACCGTCCTCCACGTCCTCCTGGAGTGTCCGGAAGCTGAAAGTGAGAGAAAGAAATATTTTGCTTTAGCATACCGCTATAATCTTCCTTTACATCCGATTATGTTTCTCGGTGAAGAACCGCTTTTTTATGCAAAATCAGTTTTAAGTTTTTTAAAGGATGTAGTATTGAATGTTTTTAGCCCAACATTGAATGTTTTTAGCCCAACAGGTTCATAGTGCATCCTCTGTTCAGAGGATGCCGCTGTGATAGCAGCTTTCAATGAGCCCAGGCCTCCATGCTTTTGTTTTAAGGGCTCTGTCGAGGCGTTGGTGCTCCATGCCAAGTTTCTATTTCACATACATATCACTTTTAAACTATTTTATGTCTCCATAGCACACATCATTTGTGATTGCCATAATTTTACTATGCATATATTTTTACGCACCTATAGCGACTGTTTTTTAGGCCCATTTACAGCCACGTCACATCTGTTTTATCTACATTGCACATTGCACAGTTCATTATCATCGCTCTGGCGCTCTTTGGCCATATCTGGCCCTTGTGCCAATAAACTCCACTAATCGTCAATCATCAAAGGCTTTACAGCTCATGGCGTTACAGATGTGACAAAGTATGTTTGTGAAAGAAAAATGCAGATGCGGTACTTACATATTGAAAGACATTGGGGAATTAATTTGGTTCTTGAAATTACGGGTCAAAACTTTGCCGGTTTGAAAATAAGACATGACAGAGAAATCCCTGTTTGTTTTTTCTTGTTCTTTATTATGTGTGGTTTGGGTTTGGTGCTGTAGATTGTGTACAGATTACCAAGACACCCATGACAGAAGGATTCATTGTGCCAATGATTCATTGGGCACAAGAAGGCTCTCCTTGAGGAGGCTGAAACGCCTTATTCTTTTTTGGCCTATATTCCTCAAGTTTTTATCATCATAGATCTTAGCAGGTGTGTTTTTGTCAAAACCTTGACTTCAGCAACCAACCAGAACACCATTCTTTCCCCGAAAGTTATAAGCACTAATTCTGCTATTGTATGAGCAGGTAGTTCATTTTGGTGTTTGGATTGCAACGTTTATGCATGAGATCTTTTGTGCTGAATGTGAGAGGCTGTGTGCGTTGCAGTCTTTGTTCAGCAAACATTAACAAAGAACAACGTAACAGGAGAGCATACAAACATTAGTGGAAAAAATGGGACATCATGTTAACTAACAACACAGTTGTTAGTGCCATCTCTTGGCTTTCCTGTTTACGTCTGGGCATATAACTTCATACCAACTAGCTCGTACGTCTGTCATTCCGAAATCAAATAGAGCGTGAAAAAAGAAAGCATGCAGCCCGTGTGCTCTGTGGTAATGGTTTTCATTGTAGCTATGCCTCATTGTCTGATACTTGCTTGTAGGAAACACCTTTGTGACTGCACCGAGCATTGAAGTTGATGGCATGGACGCTCAACTGAAAAAGTCACTGGCCGAGCTGACCAACTCTCTGGAAAAAACTTACCTGGTGTGATGCCGCACACGACGTTGTTTGTTGCTAGTCTTGGGAACCTTCTCTCTTTTTTTTTTTAACATACACTGGGCATTCTTCTGTGTACCATATTTCTGCATTTTCTCGAATATAGCCTGCACAAAATGTACAGATAATTCGGAGCAATAGTCAGGGTGTGGGTTATTGTGCGATTTTGGCACGCAAGCTGGCTTTACGGCACTGCTTCACGATAGTGCAAGCAGGGTGGCTACATGGCAGTACGAGGGGATCCTTTCTGAAATTATTTTTCTGCGGTTCATGGTTGGGGTTGTGGGTTATATGCAGGGTAGGATTATACGCGAGGAAATGCAGCCATAGCCAGCCATACTGCATAGCCATAGCTGTGTAGCCATAGCAGTCGCAGAGGCCATGTCTTAAGTGTCACCGCTCAAAGCCGCATCAGCGCACAGTCACCACTGCACCAAGTTTGTTGGAAATTTAAAGTAACCTCATTTTGCTGATCTCCTCTGCTCTGCATTTGTTGATTGTGGTAGCTTGATGCCATATTTTATTGTGCTTTTTTTAGCTTAAATCTATTACCCAACTTCATTTGTTGATTGCAGAAGAAACAGGTTATTATACAAGCAAAAATACGTAGGTTGGACGATGCGTATAGAAGCTGCATCTACCATACTTTTAACATATTCAATATTCATTATAGACTTGCAAGAAGATATTGGCGTTAAAAAAAAAAGATGCGATGACATCTTACTTATTTATACTGAATTATTTGTTATACTATTGATGTTTTTTTATATTGAGGTGAGACTGTTACACACTGTAAAGTACACAATGCAGTCTACTTATATGAATAAGAACTACTGTATAGATGACTGCTGTGGACATCGTTCACAGCGTATGCTTACGAGGTACCCATTTGGCTAAATATATCACTTAACAATCAGCATTTCTAAAGCTGTTGCCATCTTTATAAATGGACTGCACTGTTGGTATATCTTGAAGGCAGATCTGAGGTCTATTCCATGTATACTCATAATATAGGACTATTAAAGGAGCAGAGACATTGTTATTACAATTTCATGCTATTTACTTTATACGTCAATGGAGTAGGAGTGCACGCATTGATCATGTAACCTACGTTCGTTACTTTGAAGCATCCTCAACATAAGTTATCAGGGGTGTTTTCTTTGTAGAGTAACGTTGGCTATGACACAGTATGGGTAGTGAATTAGGCAACTTGGAAACAGTCTGTTTCATGATGTGAGCGTGCTGCCAGACTACATAAGACACCACTCTTCCGATTGGCTGTGGACCTCTAAACGTGGTAAAGGTCTACAGTCTGAAAAAAAAAAAAAAAAAAAAGACATGCTGTGTAGAAAAAGCAGTGGAAAATCCATGTTTGCATTTTACTTGATAGGAATATGGCTGTTATAGATGTCAACTTTGTGTCTATCACATCAAGCTTTTGTGATTAGTCCATTACAGTTTTACATGTTGAAAACGTAACCCGGGATATGCGGGCACATAATGTAATTGGTGTTTACCAGTCATATTGAGAGATTTTGTGTCACGTCTTGTAGTTGGTCTAGCTTAAAAGGAAAAAAAAAAAACCTGATCGAAAATTTTTGTCTCTGCTCCTTTAGAATTCTTCGAACGTTCACGTTCTAGGCAGAGCTCTTTTTTACATTGATTTTTACATTTTTACACTATTATACATTATACTTTTGTTTTGCACTTTTTTTTCATGTGCAGCGTTGTTGCATGCTTGGCTGCAGCTATTGTTTTGTTCATTGCAGAAGAGCTTGCTAGGGCAGTCCTGTTTTGAATTTGAATTTGATCACGTCTTTAGACGTTGAGCTCTATTTCAGCGTGGTAGAAAGAATGTGAATTGAATGGTTGTGTTATTGTGTTTGTGGGCAGCAGAAGATCAAGGTACTACGGGAAAATATTTGTGAAAACGTGCAGCTCAGATACTACATATACCAATTGGTAGAAATATCAGAGTAGCCGAAACTTTGCCGAAACTAAATATTGTGTGGGACAAAATGAACAAGACATTGATGCCATATTCAAGCCATGATTGTAGCCATATTTTAAGCATGTTAATACTGGAAATACTTCAGAATGTGTCTCTTGTATTCTTGATGATGTAATATTCATGTTGTTATTCTAGATGTTGATTTTGTGGAATGGAACGTTGGACGTGACTTTCGTTTCTTGAGAGTGAACATTATGAAATCACAATTTAGATCGCGATGCTGAAACACGGGGGCATAAAGTGATCGCGCATTGCCAGATATGTGTGACAAATTTTTATTGATGCACTGCCTTGTAAAAATGTGCCTTGCAACATGTTTGCCTTCATTCTTGTTGAAATACTACCTGCAAACAAATGCATGCATTCTGCATACAAAGAGTAAAATGGAAAAACACCTTGTTAGCAGACAAAGGGCTTCATTTTAAACATGTGTCCTTGTTCTAGTTTTAATTCTTTAGCCCTTGTTGTTTTACTTGTATTACAGTGGTCAGTTACGTGTTAATAATGTCAATCATATCAACTTGCACACTTGCGACATGCCACCTATTGCCAATACTACTGCATCAATAGACGTGAGCATATGTGCAATCTAATCATTCTCATAATTGCTGCATAAACAAGCTACATCTTTAGAGAAGCTGCACACTTAGTGCCCAGCATGCTTCAAATATCAAATAGTACCATCACATCACATCGAAGGTGCCCTATACATTTGTTATACCTGCTAAAATGTGTGGCATACAACTTTTGTGCAAGTTGATAGATAATCCTTCAGGTAGGTGCTACTTCATATCAGCAACTTTTCTTGAGGGTTTCGTGCACGAATTCTCGAATGCTTGCTCTTATTATATTATATTTATTTTTCAATCTTTATGAGCGTATGTTTATTACAACAGAATACATAATAGAAAGGATGATCTCCAGGCCTCTCATCCTTTATAAAAGGTTGTTTTGGGCCGGTCAGAAGCAGCTTTTTTGAGCAAGCTGTTTGAAGATGTTTCAACGCAGCAAACACAGACATGTAGGAGTAGTGTTTGGAACCATATTTATGCAGCACCAACATTGCACACGTGCGAGAATAGTAAAAGCAGCTGCTAGAGTTTAAAGCTGCAGATCTGGCAGGCTGCTATTTTCTTCCTTGATTTTGTTGTTTATGCAACTCATGTTCTTGTTGAAATGTTTTTTACAGCACTTAGAAGCACGCTTCTTTGTCTAATAATTACGCACAAGAGGCACATTATTTGTTTTACATGAGGTTTTTCACTATCCCAGTCACTCATAGAATGCATGTTTCATATCGTACCCCCGTATGTTTGCACATGGGAATATCATTGCATGCATTTGTTTTTAGGGATTTACGCGCACGTAGCAGGGCAAGCACCATTGTATAGCATTGATCTGCTGTCGTGGTAGCCATGATTCTTTCGTACAATTTATAGCTGGCAATTAATTGTTTCTCTGACAATAAATCTTAGTTTTCTGTTGCCTATCATTGGCAGTATGCCTGCTACCTATCTAATCAAAGTCAGCTCAGATAAAGATAACCAAACAGTTGTAAATGACATGAAAGGTTTGTTGGCAGTGTCAGTGTTGTTGCAGTGTCATATCAAGATCAAAGTGTCTATTTTTCTTTCTCCTGAGCACCGTTTTCTTGCACAAGTCAAGCTTTTCAATGCCAGCTCACGTGGAGTACACATTCTACTGCAAATTTTTTTATGGTATGAGCCTTGTGCTTAACACTGTAAAAAAATTTCTATAATAGGAACATATTGGAGCACATCTAGTCCTTATGAGGTACCATATTTACTCTTAGTGAAAGCCTCTTACAGTGATCAACGAAGTTTTAACATAGCTTTCAAGAGCTGCAAAAATGCTGGTCCTTTTCTTTTATATCGAGCTATCAAAGACTTGTGCTACGCCTTTGGAATGAAATATTATATGGCTGGAGTAGACCGGCAATAATTCAAACTTCAAGAGGCCATAAATCTTCTCTCTATTGTTAAACTTTTGAATTTTGAAAGTTCAGTTTAAGTGTGGTCAAAAACTATAATGCCTCCTTCCTTAAAGCATGCAGCATACACAACCAGGATTCTGGGAGTTCAAAGTAGTTAAATTCCTTTTGTGAATCACGTGAACAATCCAAGTTCAAAACGTGCTGAAACATATCAAACTTTGCAGGTATTGTTATACACTATACATATTTATAGTGTCTGTGTAGAAGTTTTGAATAACTAGACTTTGAAATTTTTGTACATCCACTGCACTGGGATACTTCTAAAGTTCTTTTTTTTAGCATTGCTGTTAATTCGTGTACATGTGCTAAATTTTACAATACAGTTCATTGTTAAAGGGAACACTTGAAAGAACACCATCAATATTGCCGGCCCTCTAACAGCAAGTGGATGAGGAAACAATCTTTAAGCACATGACTAATCTGTCAAGGGGAGTCTCAACCACCAGTACTCTTATGCAAATCAAAGCTACTATGGTTCTGTAAGATAGTGAAACCTAAACTTACTGTGCACGCAGGTGTTCCCTTTAACAATGAATGTGTATGTACAGGCTGGGTTAAGAATTCTCAGGCTATGGTTTCATAGAAATACATGAGATAGTGGCATGGGAACTTTTCACCCCCCTGTACATTTTGTCGAAGGCTAGTGACACCCGATTGTTGATAAATCTGTGCGACTCATGTTAGGTGCCATTACTGCCTCTGCTCACACTTTCTTTTTTATATTTATGTATAAAATATCTTTTTAGCTTTTTACAGGCATAGGCAAAGAAGTTAATTTACATAGCACTATCTTTTTATTTTGTTTTATTCCTTGCACAAGCACTACAGAAAGATTTCACCTCTTGCTGCAGTCGTTAAAGGAGTCCAAACAGATCTCATGAAACACAAATGAGAAGCTTGTTCAATATTGAACTGAATTAGTTGGCCCTCAGTACTCACAGAAGCACAAAGAAAAAAAAATGGCCTGTACATTTATGCCGTCTGTCCTTGTCTTTGTGAGTACAGCACAGGAAGTTTTCCATTAGCGTGGTTGCTAGAGTTCGCCATAATGACATTTATGTGCTAGTTATCAGTCATATATATCCTTTCTTTTTGTTTTGTTGCATCACATATTTTCACAATGCTACGGATGACTACTTCAAAGCACTTGTATTTTGTTGTGTGTGTCGATATAGAGGGTCTCGTGCCGATAACTAGATGGTGCATTGATTATCACATTGGGTTAGAAATTAAGAGTGTTACGATGTTTTCATACGCACACTGCTTTCAGGAGACTACAACTACTACAATCATATGCTATGTTCTATCGATGGCCTGAAAAACTTCATAGTGAAAAGTGCATCAGTGATAAGAATGCAGAGCCCTTGAATACAACTTATCATATTGCCTGCCTGTTCTTTGTGCTTTTGCGCCAACTCGTGCAGACATTTGTGGATACAAAGTAATTCCCAAAGTGCACTTCTGTACCTTCATATTAACCGTTGCAATGAATCTTCTCAACTCTTCTGGTGCCAATATTACCTTTCTGCTTAGAATGGCTTTTAAGTGAACAATGTGGAAAAATATGGCTCTGGTCATTGTATTGCTACAACTCATTATTTTGTTACTTTGTTCACAGTAAATAGGTTTCAAAACACTAATGTCATGCTTACAAAACACTTAGGAAGAAGTAAGGTATCACGTAGACCAGGAGTCTCAATTTCACCTCAGCTAGCAGGCCGCATTCGCAAACTTAAAGCTTCTTTCTCCCGTAAGGGCTGCAACAGTAAAGGTTGTAAAAAGGTGTTTGGAGGGTGAGATCGAACAAAATGTCGGCTAACATTGCCATCTTGGAGAAAGCTTTTCCCATACCTCATATGTGGGTCATTTCAGGATAGTATGGTTGCCCTCATGCATTCAGTGTATGGGTTGATGTCTCTGGAAACCCCCGCCATTTTGTATTAGCATTCTGTTAGTGTAAGCATAAGCACTAAGGCACCTGAAGAGCTGGGGAGACGTGTGTGGATAATAAAAACAACAAAATGTATTTCGAATTTTGGAATCATCAGTGCTACTTTCTCATGCATAACAGATACTGGAGCGTGTAATGAGCTGCAATTTTTAACTAAATCAAGAACACAGTGATCTTTTCGGTAACTCCTTTCTTAATGTGTACTGCTGTGAGCTTCTAGATCGAGTTGTTGTGCCACAAAAATTATTTGTGCAGAATTTCTTGTTGTCCAGTGCTCCAAAGATTTGTGACAAAGGACTCAATCACTTTTTCATTAAAACTGTTTGAAAGCAGGGATTATCGTCTCCAATGTCTTGGTACTTCATTTGTTGTGTTGGTCTGATGCGTATTCGTAGCGATTCAGTGTGGGCCATCCTTTCCTGGTGATGAACAATACAATTCACACATACATGCCACCCTTCAAAGGATCTGTCAGTGGCACATTCCAGTGTCCCAGGAAAGGTGCCGCAAAGGAGCACCACTCCATAGCATTATTTGTTATATGTGTATGAACCACGATTTCGTATGCACTTAACAACTGATCTGCAAGAACACTGTATGTCTGTCATGGTCACGCCAGTGCAGCAAGCGCCAAAGTGCTGTCCTGGGTTTGGTAGAGCCTATTGAGAAAAAAGTGAAAGTACATCGATTCAGGCTGCGTCATTGTGGCGGCCAAGTAATCTGGTCTCGCTTGTAAGCACTACCAGAACTGCACGGCGAGGGTGGATCGAGTGCATCTCGTCTGTCTGTACAGCACTATCGCAATAAAACACTGCAGTAAAATCGGCATATATTAAACTCGCAAAAAGGGGGCGTTAGATATAACATTGTAATTCGATATAAAGCTTTTAAGGATCGTAGCATATTTTCGTTGCGAATTTCGGGGCTCAAGTCTGCTTTATGAGAATATGTGAGAATATTTTCTTTTCCTTTTTCGTAGCTTTCGTTTTTCAGTGGTTTGTAGTTTGGGGTGTGGTATTCTCACAGGGGTGGATTATACGTGAGAAAATAAGGAATCTAAGTAAACAGTGCTTCAACCTTCAATACTGTGCGTAGTCCGCCTTGGTCCGATGGTTGGTCTTCTTTAACATTGTATACAGCTCACTTCTTGAACGCTGTACGCAGCAACGACTTTTGACGTCTGTTCTTTTTGTTTGACTCCCAACTGTTCATTGCCAGCAGGGGCGTAGCCTGAACTTTTTACAGCGAAAGCTGTTATAGAGATCAGAACGCGGGTCATCCACGGCGCCGTAGTTGTCAACCGCCGCCGGTGTCCGTAACCAGTATCGAAAGAAAAAAAAACCCAGTAAGTAAAAACGTTAATGTAACAATGGAATTCGAACCCGGGTCCGCTGCGTATTCTATCACTAAGCAACGCCAGTCTGGCCTTAGGCAGGCTTAATGTCCGGAAAGGAATCGCGTCAGTATGAGTAATAAAGCGCTTTAGAACATGAAAGGAACAGCCAGGCGTCACTCAATGCGAATTGCGTAACGAGTGGTCGTCCGATGCTCAAATTCATTAGAAAACTTGTTCTTGGTCGCCTACTAACTGTGGTGCATACCCACTTCAGGCATAATTCTTCATCGTTCTCAGCCACTGCATAAAAAATAGCACAAAATTTCCAACAAGCGTGCAGCGGATACCACGCTTTTCGAAAGAATAGCGAAGGATAGCTTGGTGAATACTGGCCTACTGAAAAAAAAATATGTATATTTATGGCGTAGTGGGTACCCGCAGTGTGCTTGTAGTAGTTACCCAAAGAGTGTTTAGAAGTGGCTCCGAAAGAACGTTCTTCTAGTTTTCGTTGAGACTGTGCCACTTCCTGTTTTCTCTATCTATCTGTCTTCATTTCCTCTATAGTATTAATATCCCTTCGCAATAATTTTGTGCAAAAACGCGAAGTGTCCAGCACTGTTGCAGCCACACTTCACGGGCTGCAAGTACCAGCCTTGTGGGAACAATATAAATGAGCGCTGTATGAGACAGCTCAAGATCACAGTTGCTATAATTGAAGCATAAATTGTTGCTTTCGAAATGTTTTCTCGTATGATGACGAAAGCCGAGCACTTCATACATCCGAGTTGACGTCTGTACTGTTGCGTCTGAGGGTATTAGTGTGGTCTCGGAGCCATTCAAGGGCCAGGGCGAAAACGAACCGAAAAGCCGGGGCCGGAAACTGGAAGGTTTATTTACAGTATATACATGATTAGGTAGTGTGGTACTAGGTGATAAAAAGGGGGAAAAAAAGCACACTCGAGCGTCTCTGCGCTCGCGTTTTATATCCTCCGTTTTCCCAAGATTTTATGCGAGGGAAGACAATTGAGTCCAGGACCCTCCATTAGGATCGTCGTCCTTTACTGCTCTCACGAATCGTCGTCTTTGACTGCGCTCACAATGAGGCAAAGTCACAAACCCCTCCCAGGAAAGTTGGAAATGCATGCACAGTTCGTCGCACAGGGAGGGGACAGTACACACAATACTCCAGGTGACCAACATGTCACATCTGGCACGGTGTGTTGACCTGAAACCCCCACGTGCAGTCAACCCAACCGGTTGGCCAGGTTCAAGGGTGACTCATGAAGGAGGTATTGGTGTCGGGCAGTCCGTGTTGTGCTCGAAAGGCCCTTGGAATGTGAGAAACGTCACCGAAGATGTTTTCTCTGGCACTCGGCTCATTGTCAGGTGCATTTTGATGGCTCCAGAAATTCAGAGGGGACCAGTTTATCTAGAGGCCCGTGTACATAGACGCGACGTGGGCGGGCTGAGTTGAGTGGCGGGTTCAGCTTACCTCGACGCGCCCGAGTTTATATGAACTCGCACGGACGAGTTGAGGTGAGCGGTGATCGCAGCGACGCTTTGCGTCGAGGCGAGCCGAAAGCCCGTCTTCCGGTACCGGTTTCCGCTCCTCCAAGCCTGCGCTCGCGCCTCTCGCCGCTGTGGGCTACTGTTGTTTACGCAGTTGTCGCTCCGCCACTGCGACTACTGTCTTGGTATTTTTTATCAGTTTGCACCAGCTGTACTTTATGGTTGTGTTGGTGTCTTGGCTAGCACTGCACAACGTCTTGGCTAACATGGCTTGCACCATCGGGCGGTCGTCAAGCAGAAGGCTCATTTTGTCAAACCACTTCCACTTTGACGGCTCCCCGCCACTTTTTCATAGGAGCAGGCGTTCCTGCGAATGCCAAAAAAGTCATTAGAAATTAAAGCGCCTGAAAACTTTTCGAATCAAAGCAAACAGGGAGGTACTTACAGCCGTGAAGCGTTTCTTCAAATTCTTCCAACAGGTTCTTATTTGCTCCCACGTCCACGTCAGGCCCTGTTCCTTCAAACATGTTTCCAGGTCCATGAATATGTCCTTATTTTTTGCCGCTTGCTATCGAGCAAATCACTCAGTTTTTTCTCGTTGACTAAAGCTAGCAACGTCGCTATTTCATCATCTGTCCACATGGTGCGTGGAGCCCGCGAGGATGTCATCGTGCCTAGCGCGCGCGTACTGGCCGACAGAGAAAGAGCAACGTCGTAGTAATGGAGACAAGGGAAGCGGAGACCGCGACGGGTGGGAGAGGTCACGAGCCGTCAACTCAGCGCGACCGGTTATACATGCCCTTTCTGAGCGCGGTGAGTTCGGTGAACCTACCCCCTGTCTCCGGGTCGACGGGACTCGCCGCGACGACTCTCCGCCCCGACGCGTCCACTTATTCATGGGGAGGGTGAGTCCAGAAAGCCTGTTTATTTCGACTCAACGCGCCCTCGTCGGGTCAATGTAAACGGGCCTTAGGCAGCCCAGACAGCAAAACAGCCATTTCCAGGTAATCTGTCGGCCGAGCGGGGGCTGTGCTGTCGCCTTCTGGACGCCTCCGGATGCGCGGCAAAGTCAAAGTCCAAGCGGTGCCAAAACACGGGGGCCGATCATAACAGTACCTAATGCGAAGTTTTGTGTACTGACGTCCCTTGTACATTGTGGTCCTTTATGAAAGGGAACACGCGAACGCGTGGCCTGCGCTCTGCGGCGGCTGCCTACAGCACCACCAACGGTCAAGTGACGAAAGCACGTTCGCTTTTGCAGTCATTTATGGTCAAGCAAGATAACGAGTTATGGCCGGTAGACAAGCCCTGCTAGATTTTGTCCCCTGATCGCTCACGCGGCGAGCGATATCGGGCGATTACTGCACCTTTTGCCGGGGTCGCGAACAAGGTTTGATATGTTGGCAGTGGACTACGCACTGCAGGTTAGAGCAGAGAGGGAGTGCAATCTAGCAGCGCTTGTCTACCGGCCATAACTCTGTATTGTTACTTTTTTTTTGCAACAGATGACGCTGAAAGCGAACGGTTTTTCTTTTGCTGTTGGTTGACGGTGCTGCAGGCAGCTGCCGCAGAGCGCAGGCCACGCCTTCACGTGTTCCCTTTCATAAAGGATGACAGTGTACATACATTTTATCGCTTATCACCGTCGCAAGCAGCAGTGGCTTTTTCACGAGCTAACAGCCATTCTATACAAGGATTGAGCGTCAATAAACCTACGTTTATTTCCCAGCTGAGCGTCCAACTGATTCACTGGCGACGGGGCGGACCTGCCTGGCGAGGCCGCCGTCTAAGAAGGCGGGATGGCTGTCGGCGAGATTGGCGAGTATCGTCTTGGCACGGACGCGTCTTGGGATGAGTACGTCGTCCGGTTGGAAATGTTTTACGTCGCGAGCAAAATAACAACGGATGAGCAGAGAAGAGCAGCTATACTGAGTTGTTGGGACAAAGCAGCGTATGGGCTCATCGTAACCCTGGTGAAGCCAGTAAGACTGACCAGGGCGAGCTACGACGCAATCAAGAAAGCCGTTCATAAACACCTGAAGCCTTCCGAGCTGCACGCAAGGTGTTTGTTCTAAAGAAGAAACCAGGCTGCTGATGAATCGGTGGCTGACTACAACGATTACTGCTCTGCGGAAGATAACCGAAAACTGCAGGTTTCGTGACAAGCTGTTATCGTTAGACATCATGATGCGGGATCATTTCGTGGGCAGCATCAAGAATGAAGCAGTCTAGCAGAGACTTCTCGCCGAGGAGAAAGTTCCAGGTCGCGTACGATATGGCCGTGACAGCTGAAGCTACAGCGCAACAGCAGCGAGACATACGCAACCAGGGACGAGATGAAACAAAAGACAGCCAGGGTCTAATTCAAGCCACTCGCCTGAAACAAGAAACAACGGTGAAAGGTTCCAGTTGCTATCGCTTCAACGGTAAGCACGCTCTGCATTTGTGCAGTTTTAGAAAGGCGGCATGTTTCAAGTGCTGAAAAAGATGA